CTTCCCTCCCAGGTGGAGACTCTGCTCCTTCTGGCCCGCCAGAACCGGGCCGTGGCCCGCACAGCCCAGAACGAGCGGTCGTCACGCAGCCACAGTGTGTTCCAGCTGCAGATCTCTGGGGAGCATGCTGGGCGAGGCGTGCAGTGTGCAGCCCCCCTCAATCTTGTGGACTTGGCCGGGAGCGAGCGGCTAGACCCTGGCTTAGCCCTCGGTCCTGGGGAGCGGGAGCGCCTTCGGGAAACACAGGCCATTAACAGCAGCCTGTCCACGCTGGGGCTCGTCATCATGGCCTTAAGCAACAAGGTGGGAAAAGGGTTGGGCAGGTGGGACCTGGGGCTGAACCCTGTCCAGTCCTAATCACTGCTCCCCCGCAACCTTCTAGGAGTCGCATGTGCCGTACCGGAACAGCAAGCTCACCTACCTGCTGCAGAACTCTCTGGGCGGCAGCGCCAAGATGTGAGTGGAAGGGGCAGGGGAAGGGGTCGTGTGGGAACTAACGGGGGTCAGGTGGGAAAGGGGAAGCAGTGGAGACCTGGTCCAGGCTCCACACGGCCACTAATGCTCTCCTCTCTCCACAGGCTCATGTTTGTGAACATTTCTCCCCTGGAAGAGAACGTGTCCGAGTCCCTCAACTCCCTCCGCTTTGCCTCTAAGGTGAGGTTACCACCGATCCCGGCCCTGCAGGTCCCCTGGCGGCTGGGTTTCTGCATCCACACCCTCTGTCCTTCAGGCCATTCGTCCAGAAAGGACTTAAAATGACAGCCATCCGCAGCACACACCCATCTAGATAGACTTTTAACTCTTGGCTTTTGGGGATTTTTAATTAAGTTTTTAAAAATAGGTAAACTTCATAGGAAGCTATACACTACCCCATCACTTTTTCTCCCACCTGTCATTTTTATCATCACTTTGCTTATTCTAATGTCCCTTTTGCAAATACAAGCAATATGCATGTGCTTATTCCCCTCCTCCTTATATAAAAGACATCTCTCCCCCTCTCTCTCATATGTTATTCTGCGTTTTGTTTTGCTTAATAACACAGCCTCAAGATTACTCCCACCAGCACACAGAGACCATCCCATTGTTTTTACATCTGCCTAGGAACTGTAGAACTAAAGTTTATCCACCAGTTCCCTCTACTGGGCACTTGGATTGTTTCCACACTTTATTACAAACAAGGCCATGTTGACTAGTCTCTTATGTATATCACTTCCTGTTTGTTCAATCACATCCAACTATCTAGGGAAGAATGCCTTGAAATGCGATTGCTGGATCAAAAGGGACCTAGAGGTTTTCAGACCTTTCCAAAGAGTGTGAGTTCAGGCTCCGAACCTCACGAGGGTCAGCTGCGGCCGTGGCCATGAATTCTCTAGGACAGCAGTTGCCAGCTTTTTGGACCTCATGGACCACCGGTTGGCGACTGCCGCTCTAGGATGCTTATACTCCCTCCACTAGAATTAGGTCGGAAAGCTTTTTTACTGCCTCCTCTGAAGGGTAATTTTCCCCTCTGGTCACTCATTTTCCTGAGCTGTAGCCCTGCCGTGGGTTCTGGCTTTTTTCAGGGTTTCTGGTCAGGTTGCCCTCCTGCTCCATTGGGGCTTCAGCCTTTCTTGCTGCCATGGAAGCAGCCAGCCACCTTGGCACCCTTACCTGGTCTGCTTTGATCAGTATTTCTCTTCCTATCTAGCAATCCAATTAAAGTTATATCAACATCATTAGCACCAAACAACATAAACTCTTTAATATCCTCTAATACCCAGCTTATATTACATTTCACCTAATGTCTCAGCAACATCTTATACGTTGGGTTTGTTCTGATGAGGATTAAGCAAGGGCCACTCAGATAATTTAGTTGAAATTATCTCTTAACTCTCTCTTTAACCCATAATAAGCCACCCCCTTTGATGGTATCTATTTATTGAATAGGGTCATTTGTCCTACAGAATAGCCATATTCTAGATTTTGGCTGATTGCTTCCTCTTTCCTCCATAAGTTTTGTTGTCTTGTTTGTTGACTAGATTTGAATCAGGTTTAAATTTCTTAGCAAGTAAACTTCTGTGAGATGGTACATTTTCTATCAAATCATATCAGAAAGCACCTAATATCTAGTTGTTTCACTTTTAATGATACAAATAATTGATCATTGGATTTGGGTGTTGTCAGCCTGATCTATCCAGTAAAAACTCCCAATCGACTTTTTCACCTAGTGATTTTATCAAGCAGGGATCATACCAAGGTCTTATTTTACTAGGGAATGTTAAAATGGTGATTTTCTAATTTTCCCAGTTCTACATTTATTAGTCCAGATTCTTCTATAAAGTACTTCCCATTCCCATCTATTTGGTTACTCTGAAATTCAGCTCATATATGAAAGGCAGAATAAATGCTGGATTCTTTATCAATTTTCAGTATTATAAATTGATACCCAGGCAACTCCTAAAGGTGCTCAGTGAGTTTTCATCAGGAGTTATCATTTTACAGATACTTATGTATTTGATACGTGTTCTTTGCAGGTGTCGTTCTTTCTGATGTGCAAATTGTCTGTCTTTGTCAGTTGTGTGCTGCTTCAGTTTGGCTATGTCCTTTAATGGGTCCCCAACAGTCTTTATTCCAGGCTCATCTTGCACATTTCCTGCTCTAGACTTGAAATCATTGATTTTCCAAGGAGCCTTGGTTTCTAAGCGTTACTATTCTATTTAGCTTATTAAACATTAGTGGTGGGAGGGCTAGAAATGAAAACTCCTTCTTTCTCTACATCTGTTCTTAGGCCTTTTCACCTCTTCCAGTCCCAGGCCTAGTGGAGAACTAACCATAACGGAGGCCAGCGTGAACTGTCTTCAGAGCCTTATTTCAGTGCTTTCTGGGGCAGCCCTAATAACAGGGTTGGGGGATGATCTTCGGAAGCCAGTCTCTTGGTTGCTCTGAAAACTTTTTTATTCTGTCTATACCCTCTGCCCACAGGTGAACCAGTGTGTTATTGGTACTGCCCAGGCCAACAGGAAATGAAGACATCCACATCTTCTAGGGGTGGATGATTTATTGGGGTAGGGGTGGTGCCCCATGTTACCCAGGCCTATCAAATAAAGAAAAGTTTTCTGTGTTGTTGTTTTTTCTCTTAAATAAAGGTTTTGTTAGCAGTTGCCCTAGAAGAATATTTTTCATATCTGTAAAAAGGGGAACTGTGGATCTGTCCACTCTACCCAGCATTTGTGTGTTTTGAGGGCCAGAGCCACCTTTTTTCTCCTTGACAAGCCGTACTTTGGGGTCTGGGTAGCCTCCAGCCCCATTCCCTTACCCCTGGTCCATACCTGGAGGTGTGCCCTCTAGCTATCACAGGCACCCTGAGAGGTGGGCACTGGAGCCCAAGGACCGAGCTGGTGCACCCTCCCACTCATTGCTGGCTCTTTCCTCCAGCCCTTTCCCGGTCCGCCTGTTCGAACGGCCGGGGCTGGCCCTGCCCGCTGCCCATTGGCCGGCTCTCGCGGCGTCACCGCCTCGGTACTAGCCCTCCGGCCCCGGGAGCGCAGGGCCAAGCAGGGCGGCCGAGCCCCAGGCGCCAACTGCCGGCGGCCGCCGCCCGAGAGCAGGGCCTCGGCCTCCCAGGTGCCGCGCAGGAGGGGCCGCGCGTGCGCAGAAGCGCGGGGGGGGGGGCTGCACCGGGAGGGCGGGGCCGGGCAAAGGCGGGAGAGGAGGGCGGGCGCCGGAGGGAGGAGGGCGTGGTGGCCCAAGGGCAGGGTGAGGAGGGCGGGTCCCGGGCTGGAGGCGGGGCGGGACTTGGGGCGACCAAGGATTGGGGGGCAGTTAGCCGATGTGGCATGGAGCGGGGACCAGTCTGGGGACGGGCTGCCGGGAGGGGGGAGCCCCTCCTAGCCCCAGGGCGGTCCCGCTTCGGAGGAAGGGGCTTCGGGGACTCCCCTTCCCGCGGGCCCGCCGGTCCGCCAGCCCCACCCGCAGACGGCGGCGCGGGCTCCGCGCCCGCGGGCCTGCCGGAGGTGAGGGAGGTGGGGTGAGGTGGTGCCCGTCCCCCGCCCCGGGCTCCTCCCCCCATGCTCCCCTCCCACCGCCCTCCCCCTGAGCCGGCTCGGCCCTCCCTCTCCCCTCCTTCCCCGGCCGCCTCCTCCTGCGCGGCTTTGGCTGCTGCGTCATACGCCCCAGAGCCGCCGGGACGCAGGGGCTGGGCCCGGGGACCCCCGGCCTGTGCCCGCACGCCCCCCGGCGCCCAGGCGCGCCCGCCCCGCGCGGGGCTCTCGCCTCGGTCTCCCGCGCCCGCCTCTGCCGGCTGCCGGCGGCCCAGCTGTCACTGGTGAGGAGGCGGCGGGAAGCGCGGGGTGGGGGAGGCGCCGGGAGCCGGGGGTCGGCGCGGAGCGCGGGCGGGAGGACCCCGCCACCCGGGCGTCGGGGCGGGCTGGGCCGACTCCTGCCCCGTTGGACTTGCGGTCACGGTAGTGGAGCCCGAGACTGGGACACGCCCCCCTCCCGGGCACTCAGGGAAGTTATCTAACCCGAGGGCAGGGATCCCCGAATTTGAGGATGACCTGACATAACCTGGTACCCGGGTGATTATTCTAAATGAGACTCGCGGGCCCGGGGAGCCAGCTGTTTCTACTCTGGAAAAACATCTCCAAACGAGCTCCCAAAATACATCTCTGGGTAACCCCAATTATACCTCTAACTGCAGGAGTGGTAACCTTTGCTTCCGCAACCGTCGTTCCTGTTAAAATCTCAAGATCTCAAGACCGGGACAGTCCCAGGGGAGCTCTGGAAGCTGGGAAACTGGAGAACTAGGTTGGGGTGGGCTGGTTAGGGAGAGAAACTGGTCACCATAGCTGGGAAAGCTGGAGTCCAGCAGAGGGGTTTCCTATCCAGCTGTCTCAGGGGTATGGAGACAGGGAGCACAGCTGCCTGAGTCCTTGACAGAAAAATAGGCAAAGAAAAGAGTGTTTCTCAGCTTCCGTAACCTCCTCACATTCTGCTTCTGGCTAGGCCCCCCCCAGGATGCAATGGCACAGCCCCCCCGGCTGAGCCGCTCCGGTGCCCCCCCACTTTGGGACCCAGCTTCCCCTGCTCCCACCTCAGGCCCCAGGCCTCGACTTTGGGAGGGTCAGGATGTGCTGGCCAGATGGACAGATGGGCTGCTGTACTTGGGAACTATCAAGAAGGTAAGACCTTTGACCTCTGACCTGTCACCTTTCCCCCAATCTCCTCATCTAGTTCTGATGCCCATTTTACCTTCTGTACTCACCCCCTGCAGGTGGACAGTGCCCGGGAGGTGTGTCTTGTCCAGTTTGAGGATGACTCCCAGTTTCTGGTTCTATGGAAAGACATTAGCCCCGGTGAGACCCTAGAGGCCTGGGAGTGCATCCCGTGGAGGAGAGACCTGCCCGGAGGACAGGTCCGTGACTCTGTGTTCCCTCGCAGCCGCCCTCCCTGGGGAGGAACTCCTCTGCTGTGTCTGTCGCTCAGAGGCTGTGGTCCCTGGGAACCGGCTGGTCAGCTGTGAGAAGTGTCGCCACGGTGAGAGCACAGGACACCTGAGCGGTCTAGCTTGCCCTGGACATTCCAGGCTGCCCTGTCCCTTCCCACCAGCTCTGGTCTTTACACCGCCTGTTCTGGCCTGTGCCCCAGGCCCCCGCTCTGGCCAGTCTCTTCAACCCTGTAACCTCCCTCCCCACCCACCCAACACAGAGAGAGGTGGCCATGGCGGGTGTGTGTGTGTGTGTGTGTGTGTGTGTGTGTGTGTGAGCTTTGCAGAGGGTGGTTCAGATAACCTTTCTTAACCATATGGCCTTGGGCAAGTCTCAAAACTAGGAGCCTCAGTTCCCTCACCTGTAACATTAGGGTAACCCCTGCCCCCCAAAAGGACCATGACCAAGAATTAAATTAGATGACTCTTCCTCTCCCAGTACTAGTACACAGGGGTTTTCAATTCAGTAAGCGCTCTACCATCAATATCATTATTCAGCTTATCACCAGGACTGCCATGTTCCGAGGGCCCCGGCCCCTGGAGAGGGCGAGGGCACGTCCTGGGTCTGCCGCCAGTGCATCTTTGCCATCGCCACCAAGGTAAAGGCACCTTCCTATGGAGCGTCCCACCACCGCCTCTCCCAAGCCTTTCCTCGCCCGCCTCTGAGCTGGCCTGCCTTGTCTCTGCAGAGGGGAGGTGCACTGAAGAAGGGCCCCTATGCCCGGGCCATGCTGGGCATGAAGCTCTCCCTGCCGTACGGACTGAAGGGGCTGGACTGGGACGCGGGACATCTGAGCAACCGGCAGCAGAGCTACTGTTACTGCGGTGGTCCTGGGGAGTGAGTACCGAGGGCGGGGGCTCAGGGACAAGGAGGCCGCTGGTTGTGCAGGAATCCCCGGGGATGGAGGAGAGAGAATAGGGGCAGCAGTGCTGAAGGGGAGGCAGTCGGTGGTGACCAGGGTTTGGGGCGGTTAAGGGGGGTTGTCTGGAGGTCACTGTCCTGTGTGCCCCCTCAGGTGGAACCTGAAAATGCTGCAGTGCCGGAGCTGCTTGCAGTGGTTCCACGAGGCCTGCACCCAGTGTCTGAGCAAGCCCCTCCTCTACGGGGACAGGTGAGACCAGGACAGACTCCGTGATCCGCTCCACCTCGCAGCTCCCCCACGCCTGCCTGTCTCGGATCCGCTCTCTGCACAGTTGCTCACGGGTTCCGTCCCTGCTCTGTGAGCCCTGCAGAGCATGGTGTCGTCTTCCCGTGTAAGGCGTGTTCTCTCTTGCCCACATCCAGGTTCTATGAGTTCGAATGCTGTGTGTGTCAGGGGGGCCCTGAGAAGGTCAGGAGGCTACAGCTTCGCTGGTGAGCTTGACCTCTCACCCACCTGCCCCAGCCTCCCACTCGGAACTCCCTGGCTTCTGTAACGCTTTCCACAACCTTGACACCTCACTGCTTCTCCAGGGTGGATGTGGCCCATCTTGTCCTCTACCACCTCAGCGTTTGCTGCAAGAAAAAATACTTTGATTTTGACCGCGAGATCCTCCCCTTCACCTCTGAGAATTGGGACAGCTTGCTCCTTGGGGAGGTAAGGGGAGGTGGAACTGTGGGGCTATGGCGGGAGAGGGAGATGGGAAGGGAGGGGAGGAAGGGATCACTGCTTCCTGGACCCCATTTCCCCTCCTCTTGCCCAGCTCTCGGACACTCCCAAGGGAGAACGTTCTTCCAGGCTCCTCTCTGCCCTCAACAGCCACAAGGACCGGTAAGGTGGAGGGAGGCTCGGGGAGATGATGTGGATGTGGCTGCCTGGAGGGAGGTGCTGGCATCCATCAGACACCACCTCTGGAAAGGACGGAGGTCAGCAGAGGGGCCCTTTTCTATAACACTGACCTGTATCATCTCTCTCCTTACCCCAGTTTCATTTCAGGAAGGGAGATTAAGAAGAGGAAATGCTTGTTTGGTCTTCACGCTCGGATCCCTCCTCCTGTGGAGCCATCTACTGGAGATGGAGCCCCCACCAGGTCACTGGTCTAGGGAGGATGGGGGAATTCTCAGGGTATTCATCTGGGGGTAAATGCATATGGAGGTGGGGGTCTTTGGGTGTCCGGGAGGGGGCTGGGGGGATAAGGAGGCCTCTTACAGCTTCCCTTCAGGGCAGGGCCCTGGGGGAGGGGTACCACGTCCCCTGGGGAAGCGCCGGAGGCCGGAGCCAGAGCCCCTGAGGAGGCAGAAGGGGAAGATGGAGGAGCTGGGGCCATCCTCAGCGGTGCGCAGCCAGCCAGAGCCCCAGGAGCAGAGGCAGCGGGCCCCTCTGCAGAGGGCACTGCAGGTACAGGGCAGAGGGAACCCCATGGGCAGATGCTGGTATGGGGGATCGAGGGTTACCTCTTAGTCCTTTGCTCCTACTTCTAGGCCTCAGTGTCTCCACCACCCCCCAGCCCTAACCAGAGTTACCAGGGCAGCAGCGGCTACAACTTCCGGCCCACAGATGCCCGCTGCCTGCCCAGGTCAGTGCTTCTCCCCCTCCAACTGGACATGCTGCCCTAGAACCTCTCCTCTAATTGTCCACATCCTCTGCACTTTCTCACCCAGAATTCTCATTTGGCTACCGACTTTTTGTCCCAGAGAGACTTCTAAAACCACTGTCTGCTCCCCAGTATCCTGGGGTTGGGGGTACCTCAGGGGTAGTGTTTAAGCTCTGCCCTTTTCGGGGGGAGACCGTCCTGTTCTGCTTCAGGTCCTGACTTTTCTCCCTCCCCAACCCTAGTAGTCCCATCCGGATGTTCGCTTCCTTCCACCCCTCTGCCAGCACTGCAGGGCCCTCTGGGGATGGCGAACCCCCAGACAGGTGAGATTCTGCCCCTTTACCTGTGACACCCCTCTTTGCCTCTGTGTTATTAAGGTCCTCCGTTTCCAACCATTTCTTCATTTCCCTGATCTACCTGTGGTCTCTGTTTCTCATCAGTCCTTACCGGTGTAGCTGGACTCACAACGGCCTTCTCTCCCTAGGTCACCTCTGGAACTTCACATTGGTTTCCCCGCAGACATCCCCAAAAGTGCCCCTCACTCGATGATCGCCTCGGCACCCTCAGGCCCAGCGCCCTCCCCAGGTCTTCCTAGACGCTCAGCGCTCTCTTCTCCCCTGTGCCGCAGCTTGTCTCCGGGGGCTGGGGGAGGAGTCCGAGGTGGGGTTGGCTATCTGTCCCGAGGGGACCCTGTCCGCGTCCTGGCTCGGAGAGTGCGGCCTGATGGTTCCGTGCAGTACCTGGTGGAGTGGGGAGGTGGGGGCATCTTCTGAACAGCCTGCCTCCGCCCACCTCCCCATTCACACACACACCGGCACTTTCGTTCCCTGACCTCTGACCTCACCTACAGCTGGGATGTACCTGGGAGGTAGGCGGTAGTTTTCCTACTGCCCAGGTGGGATCCAGGGGAGGGGGGAAGAGGCTCTCTTCTCTACTCCCTTCCTGATTCCCGGGCTTTCCCCCACCCTGCTTCCCATTTCCTTTGATGTTATTTTGTTACAGCTTTTAAACTATTTTTAAAAATTATTTAACCCCTGGGAATGGAGACTGAGGAGGGGAAGGATGGTAAAGGATTCTGGGCTCTGTATGATTGAAATAAAGATAAACAAACCTGGCAGCTGAGTCATTCTGAAAGATGAGAACACAGGCGCTGGAAGGACTTTCATCTTCCCAACCAAACTCACATACGTGACGAGAAAAGGCAAAAGCAGAAAGAACCAAAGGTGGGATTTATTAGGGCCCAGTCATCCTCTGCAAGCCAGAGGGCACTGAAGTGCGTGAGGGGGACACGGCAGGAACGGGGCTCCTCATGGGGGGACCGTGCTGGAGTCGGAAGCTGATCCTGTAACCTGGTGCACCCAACGCAGGTACGGGGAGTTCCCCTGCTCCACGGGCAGCGAGATCACCTCGGCCACTTCGTATGGGTGCACAGAGCTGTGGAACAGAGGGGGTGGGTCACTCAGATTGCCCCCATTACTTACCTTCTGCCCGCCCCCCAGTTCAAAATTCTTACCGAACAAAATCTGTCAAAGCTGGAACCAGGGAACTTGGGGTTTTAATCATCTAAGGGTGAAGACAAAAGTGGTTGAATCCACCCATGGGGCTGATCTCAGGATCTCATGAAGGAGAGGGGTCAAAGGTCAGAGAATTGAGGTTTGGTGGGTGGGGAAGTGGTTCTCACCATCAGCACCTCACTGTCCTCCTCAATCTTTCCTTTCCACTCATAGCTGAAAAGGTGAGAGCAAACGGTTTTCCTCCAGGAAAACGATCGCCAGGCGCCCCGAGCGTTAGGTTAACCCCGACTCCTCTGACTCACATGGATGTGATCTGAGGGATGAGGTTGACACAGGCTGCCAGGCGCTTCTCCACCACCGCCCTGCAGGCGAAGAGACACCCCATTCAGAGCACACCACGACCCGCATTTTTGCACTGCCAGCCCAGGGTTCCACGCCCAGAGGCGGGAAGGCGCCCTTCAACACCCCCAACTCTCCCTCATGGTCTCCCTCTTCCCACACTGGGGTCCCCACCTGGCGATCTCCTTGGCGACCTTCTCATTGGGGCAGGTGACAAAGGCTGCAGAGACCGAGCCGGCAACATAACCCGAATCCGAGGTGGGCGAGGGCTGGGCCGGGGGGCTTCCTGACGCCATGGACATCAGGGCTCGGGGTAGCGAGAGGAGGCGGGAGGCCGAAGGCGGCAGCGCCGGCATCCACAGCAGCGCCAGGAGCAGCGCGGCCTGGGACAGGCGGCGAACTCGGTGTCTCCCCACTAATGCCACGGGCAACTGCACCCCAGAAACCCTTCGTTTGGACAGACACTGGGATTCTGCCCTCCCTCTGCTGCACCCGGAAGGAAAGGTCCCTGAAGCTGAGAGAGAAACGTGAAGAATTAAGGAAAGGCTCGATTTATACTCCCTCCTCAGGGGCCAACCTCTGGGGTTCGGGTGCAGGTGGCGGTCCAGGCTTCCAGAACCGGAAGGGGCGGGGCCGGTCACTCACCCCTCCGCCGAGCAGGATCGCGGGAGCCCGCACCCCTCTCATGCAGCCTACGCTGGCGGAGGAGGGTTGAATATCAAAGGCCACAAGTCACGCCGAGAAAGGGCCCCGAACCCAGGAAGCGTGGCCTCTACTTACCTGGGTGGTGACCACGTGACAGTGAGAGCTGCGCCTCCAGAGCCAGCCAATCCGGCCCTCGCACGGCCCGGTTTGCCCCGCCTCCCGGCGGGGGAGGAGCGAAGGGGAGCTGACCAATCCACAAAGGATCTGCAGCCGTGTACGGATACGGCCCGCCCGCTTCCGGAACCGGCCAATAGCAGGCTGAGGAGCGCGCGGCGGCGGCCCACTGTCATGTGAGGGGGCGGTCCCCGCGGACGCGGTCTGTCAATGAGGGGCGCGAGGAAGCCAATCGCGGGCCAGCCCTGCGGGCCACGTGACGGGGGAGCTGGCGCTAGGAAAGCGGGGCTGGAGACCCCGCAGACTCGATACGTTAAGTTGTAGAGTGGGGAGTCATTTTTAGTCCCCAGAGTGCACCCCACAACGGCCCCTGCGCGGCTCCCGGGGCCTGAGGTGGGAGGGTCTGAGGAGGTTTACCCGCGGAGGGCGAAGAGAGCGCCCCCTGCCCTTCTGCCTAGGACTGGCACTCGCCTGGGCTTGGGCACGAACAATGATAATCTGAGGAGAAGCCAGCTGTCCCTGGGTAGGGGGGAGTGCTGAGGCAGGCACGCGCATGGCTAGACCATGGCTGGGTGAGGAAAGACGTCTTTTGGAAGGAGCCCCTGTAAATGGGATGATGAAAACCGGGCTACAGGCGCCTCGGCCTTCTTAACTTGAAACCCAAAGCTGGAGACAGACTGGTAAATCCGGGAAAAGTAGGGCTGAGGTTGGGGATATGGAGAGGACACCGAGAAGTAGTGATGGTCCCTTTGTCCCTATCCCCTTCCTATCTCACTCCCCGGGACTGGTCTACCTGTCAGCTTGGGTCTCCTTCCCTCAACCCATCCTCCGAGGAGCCAGGACCTGCCCTACATAACCTCCCTGGGGCGCAAGCACATCCTGTGACCCAAAAATGGAGAGAGGGGCCAATGAGAGGAGCGTGGTGGGAGGACGAAGCAGAGGAAAAGGCTCTTTCTTGCCACACCCTCCACCCAGTGTTCCTCCTCCTTCCAAGGTCTAGGGTCTCTGGCCCTCGGGGTGGGCATGCCTGGCATTTCTTAGGCTGACACCAGAGTTCCTTCATGCCCACCTCTCTGGGGCTGGGTCTCCTCAGAGCTGCCTCTGGTTTGGAGTTTGTTTCTGAGACACATCTCTGTGGGGTGGGGTCTTTTCCGTGTTTGCATGGGGGTTTCTTTTTGTTTTTCTGTTTTAGGGATTTGTTTTCCCGGATCTGTAATCACTCTCTCTCCAAGAGATTTCAAACTCTTTATGAATTTTGGGGTCGCCGAGTTCTCCATCTCTGCACTAGCTAAGTGTCTTTTTCCTTCCTCCCTCTCTATCTCTGATCTCTTCCTTCCCCTTCTCCCACTCTCATCCCAAGCCCGAGGTCTGCAGTTCTCTGTATCGGGTCTCTGATTGACAGCTCTCTCTGCATATGGGTCTAAGTTTCAGATCTGGGTCCCTGAAATAACCATTTGCGTCTACTGCCCAAGATTTCTGTGGCTGTGAACTTTGTGAGACTGGTTGCTCAGTTTTTGACCTTTCACCCCTTTCTCTAGGGGGTCTGTTTTGGGGGCGTTGTTTTGCTTTTACAGAGGTTGAGGTCTGTTTTCCTCTAGGTTTTGGACTGTGCCTCACATTAACCTCCCCACACCTCACCTCCCTGGTGACAAGGTATAGTTCGCTGGGTCTGGGGTCTCTTGCTCTCAGGGTCTGGGATCTGCAGCTTTAAAACTGTTCTCTCTCTAGCGCTAGCTCCTTCTCTCTCTCTCTCTCTCTCTCTCTCTCTCTCTCTCTCTCTCTCTCGTTTCTGAGTCAGGGGTCTCTGTCTCTCCGATTCCTACTGGTAGGGGTGGGGGCTGCAGAGGCTCTCTCTCTCTCCTCCTCCTCCTGCTCTCTCCTCTCTCGCTCACTCCCCCGCCCCCCTCTCTCTCTCCCGGCTGCCGCTGCTGCCGTTGGCTCCCATTCTCCTCCTCCTCCTCCTCTCTCCTCCTCTCTGCTCCTCTCCGCTCTTCTCTCCTCCTCTCTCCTCCTCCTCTTCCACCTCCTCCTTCTCCCCCTCTCTCTCCCCCTCTTTCTCTCTTCTCTTTCTCCCCCGTCCCCCGCCCCCTCCCTCCCAGGCCTGATGAGCAGGTCTCGCGCCTCCATCCATCGGGGGAGCATCCCCGCGATGTCCTATGCCCCCTTCAGAGGTACGGTGGCGAGGGGAAGGGGAGGGCCAGGGAGGGGAGGGGGAGGGCCAGTTAGGAGGGGTAAAGGGGGGAGGGGCAGGGGCAGGGCGGAGGAGGGGGCAGAGCCGAGGCCACGGAGGGGAGCTGCTGAAATGGAGGGAGACAGGAGGACTGGGAAGACAGGATAGGAGCAGTGAGGAAGGAGGGATTGAAGGCCAGAGGACAGGGGAAACAGGGACCGGAGGGGCCAGGAAACAGGCCTCAGAGAGGGCTGAGGTGAAAATGAAGGGGAAAGAGGAGATCGCAAGAGAGGGTGGGAAGATAGGACAGGGTTGGAGAAAGAGCTGCAGAAATAATTCTGAAGCTAAGAGATGAGGAAAATATCAAGGAAATAGAAGGGCAGAGTCAGGAGAGGGGCTGGGAGGGAGGAATGAAAACACAGGGTTGCAAAGAGGAGCCAGGAAGATGGGGGTCAGAATGTGGTGGGGGTGGGGGAGGTCAGAGAATGGTATGGGATAGAAAAAGAGAGGAGGATGGAGGAAGAGAAGAAGGGGCCAGATGGAGAGAGAGGGAGGCAGTGTGTGTGGGGGGAGGAATAGAGGGTCCAGATGGAGGGAAGAGAGGAGAGGGAATGGGTTGGGGGAGGAGAGACCAGGGCAGGGGGAGGGCTAAATATGTGTGTGTTTGTTGAGGGGGGAGGGGGCATACAAGTAAGATTGAGTGATGGGAGTGGGGGGCAGGTTAGACTGCCCAGACCTCTCTAAGGCCCTTGGCCAGGATAATGTAACCCCTGGGGTCTTATCTGCTTCATTCACTTCCCCACTTTTACTCCCCTCCCCCATCTCCAATCCTTATTTCCATTTCCCCCTCCCTCCTCTGGTGTCCATCACCTATATCTTTCCCCCCATATGGTGTCCGTTCTTTATATGGGTCCCCCTTCTGTCCTTCCCCTTTATCAGTCCCTTCTCTGGTGTCCTCTCTCTCCCCCTCTCTCCCGCCTCTTTCCCCCTCCTTCTTGGCCCCCTTGTTCTAGCACTCCTATTAGGTTCACTTCATTTCTTCTGCCCCAGGTCCAGTTGAGCCCTTCTGGTATATTTTCTTGCAGGGATTTGCCGTGTTTCTACCTCCTCTTCTCTTCCATCCGACCCTGTTATTTGTCTCCTAGCCCATCCCCTATTGCCTACTCCGTTCCCCATCTTGTCCCCACAAGCCTGTGCCTACCCAAGCTCCCTTAACCTCTTCTCATCCATTCTTTTCTTCTTGTCCCCTCTACTTTTTGGAGTGTTGGAGATTTGGGGTGCAGTTTTGATGGTTGGAATAGGGCCCACAAGCAACCCCCATCTGAGCCCTGTGGGATTTCTCATCCTAGTAAGCCTTTCCCCTTTCTCAGCTGTGTTCCTCTTGCACCTGCCTCCCAGACTCACCCTAAGTCCGGAGTGTGTGTGCGTGTGTGTGTATGTGTGTGTGTGTGTGTGTGTATGTTTATGGAGTTGCTCCTAAGCTAAGTTCCCTGTGTTCTTCCCTGCTCCCAGGAAGCAGGTGCCCCCTGAAGTCTAACCTGCCTCCCTGAGGCTGCAGCCTGAGCCAGCCCCTCTCCTAATGACTGTGTATCCGCAGATTCCTCCTCTGGGGCCCTCAGAGTCAGGGCAGGGGCATGCCTGCCGTGTCTGCAGCTCAGCCTCGGTGATCTCTGGGTTTAGAGGGGCTTGCTCATAGGGTCTCTGAGGTGGCAGTGAGATAAGTGAGGGCTTCAAAGTGCTGGGGTTTCTAGACATCTATGTTCTGGGGATCCATCCCGCCTGTGACCTGCAGGTGGGAAAATCTGAAGACCATATTTGTGGACAAAAGGGGACTAGATTTTCTCAAAGCTCTCCTATTCAGGGCATTCAGTTGGAATGAAGCTCAAAGATCAGATATTTTCCTGCAACATGCTCATGAGTAATTACCCTGCAAGGTGACAGAATTTGATGTTCTTCCTCTAAACTCTTACACGTGGACACCTTAAGCCTATTTTCTATCATTTTGATGTTACCAATTTGATTTTCCTCTCACCTCCATTGGGCCTGTTCCTGTGATGGTGCGCAGATGGGGGTTAAACAAGAGGCAGTTCGCGGGATGGCAGCACAGGGGGAATACGGGCAACCGTGGGCTGCTGTTCTTAGGAGTTTTGTCCCCGTCCCCGGGGCCAGTCTTTGGAGCCCACTCTATGTCCCAGGCCTGGATCTCCCATTCTTTCTTCTTTCTTCTTCAAACTCCTTAACGGGCCTTGGGCTTGGCCTCCATCCTGTCCGTGGAGAGTAGGTGGGGAGGCAGGGGTGGGTATTAAATCTTGGCCTTCATCCTGTCTGTGGAGACTAGTGGGGGAGGAGGCTCCTAGTCTCACTCCCAGGCCCCTTCACAGCCAAATGCTGACAAAGAACCAGACTGTCCCCAAATGCTGAGCAGGGTGGGCTTGGAGAGGAGGGAGCAGAGCCTAGGAAAGGCAGGAGGGGATGCCTGTTCATGTCTCTGGCTCTGAACAGGTAAGCTCTCTCTTCCTTCTCCAGAGGTTTAGTTTTCAGAATCTTATGACCTAAATGCCCCCCCCCACCAGCTTTCCTCTTACTCTCGTGCAGAGGGTTCGTGCCACCTTCCAAGTCTGTCTTCTTTGCTTATTTAATTGCCCTCCCCCTTCCCAGACACCCCACCAACCTCTGTGTGCTTTTCTCTGTCAGTTTAGCTGCCTCCACCTTTTTATTTTTTGGAAGTGGATGGAGAGTTCCTTCACTCTTTTCTGCCTTCAAGTTCATACCCTTTGTCATGCTCTAATTCCCCTCCTTCAGCCACCCTTCCAATTTCTTCCTCCAAGTCGACAGAGCCCTGTGCTGAGTCCCTTTCCTCTTTCCCCCCAGACATTGAGGCGTATCTTCTGCTCCCCTACAGTCACCAGGTGCCTCCCCCCATCTGCGTTCTCAAGGCAGGTGTGGTCCCCTTCTCCCATGTGTGGACTCTCTTAGTACCCATTTTAGGCCTCTTTCTCCCAAATGCTTAGAGCCTCCCTTACTGTTTCTGTGTGTCTCTGTCCCCCAGATGTACGGGGACCCCCTATGCACCGAACCCAATACGTTCATTCCCCATATGATCGTCCTGGTTGGAACCCTCGGTTCTGCATCATCTCTGGGAACCAGCTTCTCATGCTGGATGAGGACGAGGTGAGCCGGGTGGGAAGGTTGGAAAGACCACCGGGTACCACAGGGGATGTAGAGAGAAAGATGGGGAGAGCCCTCACTAGTGACAGGGTGAGAGGCACAGAGGAGACTGACAAGAGTGACATCGGCCAGCGTGGAAGGAGGCTGGCCGCTGGGATGTGGAAAGACAAGCATTCTCCCACCTTGGCTTGGGGTCTTCGAGGGCCCTGTGAAGAGGAAACGAGGTTCGGAAGACTTGGGGTGCCTCCTGTTTTCACTGCCCGCGTTGTGGGATAGGTTAGGGTGGGAAAGAGAAACCGAAGGGTGAAGAAATGGGGATTGCTCTGGAGGGATCAGCTCCACAGTGTTCTCAGGAACCTTCCTCTTCCCACACTGAGCAAGACTCGCTGCCTCCCAGTCCTGTTCCCGTCATGGCGCAACGTGCAGGGGGGTGGGGTGGAGGCTTGAGGGACTTGGAGAAAAGGCAGGGACAGTGGGTTCTCTGGGAAACTGGGAGAGGCTGGAGGGTCCTGGGAGAGATGACAAAGGTCAGTGGATCTCGGTGGGGAGAGCGGTGACGGCTGGGAAGGCACCTGAGATCAGGGTTGCACTGAGGGAGCTCCTGCCAGGGAATCAGGAAGGAACATGGCGGGGAGGGAATGCCTGGAGGCGAGGGCCCTGGGAGTAAGGGGAGTTGCCTAAAACAGTAAGGGAGGTAGGGGCAGGGACTAGCCAGAGGGAAAAACATGACATGAACAGAGGGTTCCTGTGGGAGGCGGTAGACATGCAGGGTGACCAGAGAGCCAGGAGAGTGTGGGTTCAGATTTGGGAGCTGGGTCCACAGTGGAGGGTCCATCAGAAGAAATGGGGGTGTGGGGGCGACTATGAAGGGTAGAAGTCCAGATGTATGATTCAGGGAGTGGAGTGATTTGGGGGACCATCTTCAGAGAGTGATAGGGTAGCTCACCAGACCAGAGGTGGTGAGAGCTGGGCCCCAGAAGCTGTTGGGGAGGTTGTGTTAGAACTGGAGTTGAAGGTAACCAGGGTTTGGAGGGATCTGTGAGGGGGAGTGGAGAGATGGCTGAGTAGAAAGCTCTCAGGCCATGGCATAAAGTCGAGGAATGGGCTGGGGGAAGAGGGTGACTTTAAGGGAGAGGCAGTGTAGGTGGTCAGTTTTAGGCACTGAGGGACACACTAGTGGTCACCAGTCTTGACCAAGGATTTGTGGTCAATTCATCTGTAGGATGAATTGAAGAAATCAGGACCAATAAGAGTGGGGACTGTGGTGAGGTGTGAGGACGAAGAGGGAAGAGATAGATGGGGTAATGAAGGCATGAGAGGGAGATAGGTTGAGGGGACTTCGGGGACTGGTGGCCAGCAAGCTGAGGGAAACAGGAGTGGCCAGAATCCAGGAGGAAGTGTGCTGGCGGACAGGATTAGAAATAATGAACACTGCAGGGCCCCAATGAACACTGCAGGGCCCAGGTTGGGCTGTGGGACGGGCTGGGCCCAGTGAGGGAGGAGGTTCCTAGGGGCGGAGGAGATGGGAGGGTGACAGGGGCAGGTTGGGAAGAGGTGGCAAGGGGAGGTGGGATGAGGTTCAGAGAGAAGAAAGGGAAGTGAGAGGTTGGGTTGGGGGTAATGGTAGGAGATGAAAGTGCGGGAGATGACCAGGCCTTTCCGGGTGCGGGGAGGTTGGGTCCCAGCCTGGCCACAAGCCCGTGGGGGCCGGGTGGGCGTGGGAGGGAGACAAGCTGGATCCTGATTATAAATGCGGCTCCTGCCCCCACCCCCTCCGTGACAGGCAGGAGGGAGAGGAGGGGGTGCGGGAGGTGGGAGGTTGGGGGAAAGCAGGGAGAATGGACGACCTGAAGGTCAAGGGGAAAGTGCAGGGAGTAGCCAACTCCGGAGAGCTGAGTGGGGTCTGGGAGAATTCCTGGAGGATGTTCCAAAAGAAATGGAGGGAGAAGAGAGGAGAGTGGGACGTGAGAGAGAGAGAGAGAGAGAGACCTGGGAGAGAAGGGAAGGAGAAGTTGGCTCACCGGACACTTAAAGTGTCGTGGGGCAGGGGCAGAAGGTGAGCTGGCCTGATGGCAGGGGGGTGTAGCCTGCTTGTGGGGGAGGGAAAGGGGGGCCTGTCGGTGCCCCTGAGCTCTGACACACCCGCATCCCCTAGATACACCCCCTTCTGATCCGGGACCGGAGGAGCGACTCCAGCCGCAACAAACTGCTGAGACGCACAGTCTCCGTGCCGGTGGAGGGGCGGCCCCACGGCGAGCATGGTACGGCGGCCGAGCAGCTCTGGTGCCCCGGACAGTCGCGGGGAGAGAGCAGAAGGCAGACCGGGCTGCTGGGCGGAGGAAGGCGGGAGCGAGGGAGCAGCCCGGGGCTGGGAGGCAGCGGACAGTGGCGTCCACGAGGGGAGTCTGGGCGGAAGGGTGCCCTCCGCGGGGCGAGCGGGGGCCGGGGCTGCGGGTGGCAGTCCTTACTGTTTCGCTCCCTTTTTCCTCTCCAACTGCGAAGCATGACTTTTCCCGGTGCTTGTAAAAATAGTCTCCTTAGATCTTTAGCTTCCTGTTGGAGTGCCCGCCCCAGCCCCTCCCAGGGCTTGGTCTGGGATCTTGGAGAGAATAACCCAGTTCCGGCCCTTCGCCCCCCACCTCTGGTCCACCCCACGCTCCTGATTCTCCTTCCAGACCTTCTGGCCCTCAGGCCCTCCCTCTCTTCTTGCCCCCCTCTTCCTCTTCTCATCAACTGCTTCTATTTTCTGCAATTCTATCACCCCTTTCTCTTTCCTCCCAATTTCTCTTATTTCCTCTACCCCTCTTCATCCATCAGACCCCCATTCATCTCCTGTCTGTCTGTCTGTAGAGCTCTCTGCTCAGTCTGTCTCTTCAACTCTCTCTCTCTCTCTCTCTCTCTCTCTCTCTCTCTCTCTCTCTCTCCATCTGTCTCTTCCCCTCCCTCTCTCTTTCTGCCCCCCCTCCACCTCCCTCTTTAGTCATTTAAAAAAAGATTTTGTCTTCCTGAGAAGTTAGCTTAAAAGGTTTCCATGGGAACAGTGAGGGGAGATGAAGGCAGAGAACAGAGATTTGCAGCCAAGGTGCAGAGAGACACCCCCAGCCCCGGAACCCCCCTTGTCACTGCCCCCCGACACTGCATTTCCCTCCCAGGACCAGGGATCCAGGTCCTCCATGTCCTCCCACCCCCACCCCCACCCCCATCCTAGTGACTCCTTTCTTCCCCCAGTTCCCCTCCCCTCAGGGACCCAGGCTTCCAGCCTCTCTTCCTCAGAGAGAGCCAGTGGCCCGTCTCCATCTCTTGGCCCCCTCAGCCCTCCTCTGATGGGCCCAGAAGGCCCTCGGGGGTCAGCTCTGGGACCCTGGGCGTTTGGATGGCCAGGGATGTGTCATTGTCATGGAAACCTCTGACCATGGGTGTGTGTGGGTAGCACATATATGTGAGGCAAAGCCAGGTGGTGGTGGTGTGTGGTTTCTGTTCCATCTGTGAGTGTCATGTCCATGTTGGGGAAAGGTTTGTGTTTTTGTGCACGTGTGAGCACCCGAGTGTCCAGGCCAGCATGGGATATGTTTTCCCTATGTCCGGTGGTTGGTGTCTGCCCACTTATTCCCACCTTCCTCTTTGCCCTGAGCCTCAGGGTCTGGGTCTCTGCTATGGGTCTGCCGGTGCCTCCTGGGTGCAGGCAGCCTGTGTTTGGAGCTGGGATGGCACTGGGGGTGGAGTTGGAGGTTTGGTAGGGTTGGGAGGCGTCCAGAGGTGTACATGTTGGGGGAGGGTGCAGAGAAAGAGTGATGGCTGGTGGACGTCTGGGGTTTTCGGGGAGCCGGGGCTGTGTAGAGGGCATGGAGGATGTGCGAAGGTGGCCGAGGCCGTGGGTGTGGGAGCCCAGGCCGGGTCCCGACCTCTGCGGGCACTGGGATCCAGGGGTCCCTCCGCGGGGGAGCCGCGCCCCTCGCTCTCCGCGGTGTGGGGCAGGGGCTGTGCTTCGCGGGCGATGGTGGGAGGCCTGGCTGGTTTAGGGGGTCCCCTGGTCCCCCTCCCCCAGTCTCTCTCGCGCTGTCTCCGGGCGACGGGGCTCGTGACAGAGGCGGCCACGGCAGCAGCGGTCGCCTAGCAACGGCGGCGGGGCCCGGGCAACGGCGGCAGCGGCGGGAGCGGCGGCGGAAGGAGCCGTTCCGCGGCCGTCACCGCGCGGCCGTCCGGCCGTCCCGGGCCCGCCGCCGCCCCCGCCGTTTCGGGCGGTGCGAGCCGGGCCGCACCGCCCCCCGTCCCGCCGCACCCGCCCCTCCCCCGCGCGGGGCGGAGCCCCTCCCGCCGGGGACCCCCAGGGGCGGTGCGAGGTAAGGGCGGGACCGCGCCGGAGGGGAGCGCGCGTGGGGGCGCGTGGGGCGGGGGCGCGCGTTGCGTGGGCTCGGGCGGGGGTGGGGAGGCCGCGGCGGCCGCGGCAGCTGCTCCCTCTGCATGTTCTCGCTGCATCTTCCGAGTGGGGGGAGTTATGGTAACTGGAGGGGGGGCGGCGGAGGTCCGCGGGTGGGGGAGTGCCGGGGACCGATCTTGGCCTCGTCGGGGACAGTCTCCTGCGCGCGGGGGCGGCCGGTGTGGGGTGGTCGCGGAGCTCCTCTGTGGAGGCGGCAGCCTGTGTGTCCACGTTGTGTTCGTGCTCATACCCGTGTCCCCTGTGTGTCGGTGCCATGTGCATAGGGGCCCAGTTACTCCTGCACACATGTGCATCCAGCCAAGTGCAGACCTGTCAGCCTGTCCTGTTACCTGCCTCTGCCGCGTGCCTGGCTAGGGAGCCGCTGGCTGGCCACTGGCTTGCGGGGCAGTCCGTGGCCATACTGGTACATGTCACCTCTGACCCTGAGCATGCATGTTCCTGGCCGGGGCTCACCTCTGGTCTTTCTCCTGTGTGTGGGATGTGTGGCTGCATGAACAGGATTCCTGTGTCCCTGCTGGCAGGTGTGTGTCTTTGCATGTGTGTTCCGACATTGATCTGGGTATCTGTGTCAGTCCCAGCATGGGTGGCCAGGGTGTGTCTGGATGTGGGTGGTGTGCAAGGGGGGGAGGGAGTATGTGTGTGTGTGCTCCTTGGAATCCTACTGCATATGAGACACCTTTGGGCTAGGCAGGTATGAGCCCCTCTTGCCAGGGCGTGGGGACAGAGAAGCTGAAAAGGAAGCTGAAAGTGGAGGGAAGAGGAAAAGTGGGGAGAAAGGGGGAGAGAAGGGATGAGAGAGACTTGGAGGGGAGGAAAGAGAGGAAGAGTAGCTGGAGAGACGCAGATTGGAGGAGAGGAGAGAGGGTCAGAGAGCTTAGGAGGGGAAGTGGATGGAGACTTGGGGAAAGGGTCTGGGCGGTGGGGAGGAGGAGCCAGGCCTCTCAGTAAAGGGGTCTCTGGGAGAGAAAAGCAGGAGAGAGAAGATGGCACCAGCTCAGTGGGCCATGTCAGATCAGGGAGGCCACTGAGGCTCAGAGGCTGCTCAGCGAGGTCGGTCACGCAGGGACCGTCATTAGAGCTTCCTGCACTGGTGCAGAGTTTGCACCCCATTTCTCTGCTCTCTGTCCAACTCTGTTCCTCACCCCGTTCTGCCAACCGCCCTCCCTGGCGCCCTCTGTGAGCTGCCAGCTGGGAGTGACAGGGAGAAAGGCTGCAGGCAGGGTTCCTGTGAGGGGATTGCAAGACGGGGACATGGCAAGATTCCAGAGACTGAAGAGGTGGGAGCTCAAGCTCTTGCTGTGTGCATGTGAGAGCAATTGTGTGTGGATACAGGGTGTACACATGTGTGGGTGTATGCACAATGCCTGGGTTACAGGCCTGTGTAGGTGGCTGTTATGTGTGTGCATGCAAGAATGCAAGAATGGGCCATAGAGACCCAGTAATCACAATATGAGGATCAGGTTTGCTGTGTGTGTGTACAGGGGTGTGTGCTGTGCTTTCTATACATGTCACTGCATGCAACATTAATAACAGGATGTCCCGAGTTCCTGTCACTCTCCTCCCTTTTCTTATGTGCTTCTGCTGTTCTTAGCCTTGTGGCCGTGAGTTTTCGTATGCCTGTGTGTGTGTGGCCAGCTCCATACCTGTGACTTATGTGTGAGTTCCTGGATCTTAGTTTCTGGTGACATGTGGAAGGTTATATTACTTCCAAGAACCGAGAGAACTAATCAGCACATCAGTTCTCCTTCTGTTAATTCTTTAGCTCCAAAGCAAAATTTTGTGGATTTCAAGTCAGGCTTTATGCCTTTATTAGGGGAGCCCACATCTGGAAACCAGGATGAGCTGGGCTCCCCGGAACAAGGGTGAGGCGGAGACTCGGACGAAGGTATCAGGAGCCCTTAGGTGCCTTGTTGCATGTGTGACGGGAGGATAGTGACACATTTGCTCCTTGTCTTTTCTTTATCCCGGTAGCAGTCACGGGAGCCTGTGCTGGGTCAGGGAGGGCTGGAAAGAGGAATGTCCTGAGACGGAGTTGTTCTTTTCATGTGAATGAGCGGTGTTGGTGCTTGTGGGATTTAGGGGCACCTTGACGTGGCCCGAACCCTGGTGTACTCAAGCATGTATCATGGTCATGTGTGTGTAAATGTCCACTTCTGTAATGTGCTGCCTACGTGATTGCCCATGGGATTTGAGCCACACGTCCACACCAGCAGTTCTCCTGTGAGTGTCCGTCCAAGTATGTCCGCCCCTGTTGTGGTGCTCACACGTGTCTAAGCATGCACCAGTGGGGGATGTGGGTCAGCAGCACCCCGGCTCACGGTTGTCTCTGTCTTCTGAGCACCTAGATCCCTGTGTAGCTTTGTATTGTGGTTCTCATATACATGTACCCCAACAGCTCAGAGTCTGTTTCTGCGTTTACACATGTGTTCCTGATGGGTTGACAAGGGCTCCTGTGTCATAGAGCCACATTTTTGTGAGCAGTTCTCCGAACACCCGGGTTTTAGAGGGAAGGGAACGTGGGGGCCGGTTCTAGGACCATTTGCCATTCTGGAAGCCGGCAGTGAACATGTGGCTGTGGCCCTCCCTTGCTTTGGGATGTAGAGGGTTAACTGGCAGCTCTTCCGGTCCAACCCCCTCCATCCTGTAGCTTCTTGTTGCTGTGGAGATGGTAGCCCCGCCCCTGATGCAGTACCTGCCCCCCCATTGGCTGCAGTGGTGACTGGGGCTGAGGGGGGAGCCCAGGCCTGAGCAGCCATTCTGGAGCTGGAGCCGGAGCTTGGCATCCCCCACTTTCATTCTCCTCTAGCCCCTCGCCCCCCTGACCCCCTGCTAGCAGAGCCTCAGCTTCCCTCCTCCAAGCCGCCACCTCTCCAAGACTCTTGGCAGTCCCAAGCTTCATCTGCAGTCACCTCCTCTCCTCCTGCCCGCACTTGGGAGTCCCCCAGCCCCCACTGCCCCTTTCCCCACTCCCTGGCATTCTTCTCTTCCTTTCCCTCCTTCCCTCCTGAGTCCCTGCCACTGCAGTGCACGTGGAGCCAGCCCCTGCTCCCCTCCCCCTGCCTGGCCCTTCCTTGAATTGTCTGGCCCTGGGATTCTCCCCTTGCCACTCCTCACAGGCCTCTTCCTAGCTCCCCCCTCCAGCGCAGGGAGGGGGTCATGGGAGGCAGCCCAGGCCCTCCCGATAGCCTGGGCTTCCAGCGGGAGGGGGGCAGGGGGCAGATGCACCCAGCTGAGGGGAGAGTAGAGCTTGCCCATGGGCAATGACCTTAACCCAGCTTCCCCCCCCAGCTAGCCTCCTCCTGGGGGGGTGGCCACCAAGGACCTATCTTTTGCGGAACGGTGTCCTTTATTATTCGGGTTTTACTGACCCCCTCAGCCATGCCCCTGGGCTGACTGCCAGCCCCAGTCATGGGCCTGAGGCCTCCCACTCCGTCCCCCTCGGGGGGCTCCGGTTCGGGTTCCTTGCCCCCTTCTTCCCGCCGCCAGCCTCTCCGCCGCCGCTGCTCTTCCTGCTGCTTCCCGGGGGGTAGGTGAGGCTGGAGCGAGGGGCCAGGGCGGTGGGTGAGCGTGCTGGGGCCAGGGGCGGAAGCCTGGGCTGACAGCGACCCCTCCCCAATTCCCGCTGCCCCTTCCTTCCCCCCAGAGTACCACTTGGGCCGCTCGCGGAGGAAGAGTGTCCCCGGGGGGAAGCAGTACAGCATGGAGGCCGCCCCCGCTGCGCCCTTCCGGCCCTCGGTGAGTGAAGGTGCTGCCGAATGTGGCTGCTGCCCCTCCCCCAGCGTCCCAGCTGGAGCCCGGGATTCTGAAGGGACCGCGGGAGGGATGGAGGAAAAAGAGAGACTCCCCACCTCTTTGGTTTCCCCCTGCTTGGCTCTGCCCCCCTGCTTCTCAGACCAGCCCTCCCACCTTCTGCAAGCTGGTGTGTGTTTGTGTATGCGCTCGAACCCGTGGGAGCAGAGGAAGACAGGCCGGTGGCAGGGTTTTTCTCCCCCTCTCCTCGCCCCTAAAGACTCCCATCCTCCCCTCCCCACCTTCAGCTGAGAGCTGAGCTGGTGGGACGGACCCTGCTCCGACCACCCCATCCCCACTTCCCTCCCGCAGCAAGGCTTCCTGAGCCGGAGGCTGAAAAGCTCCATCAAGCGCACGAAGTCCCAGCCCAAACTTGACCGGACCAGCAGCTTTCGCCAGATCCTGCCTCGCTTCCGAAGTGCTGACCATGACCGGTACAGCTGGAGTGGGAGGGGGGGCTTGGTTGCCGAATGGGGACTCTGCAGTGGGATCCGAGGAATGGGTGTGCTCTGCCGAGGCTGGAGGCCCAGGCCGGCGGGGGGTGTTATGGGGTTAGGGAAGGGAGAGGTCGAGCCAAGGAGGGACTCTGCTGGCCCCAGGAGGGAAGGAGTGCTGGAGCCGCTGGGAGGCCAGGGGAGGGGCTCAGGGAGGAGCAGTGTGATCCGGGGAGAGGGGCGAGAGGGAAGGGCGGAGGGTGGAGTGGGGCTGGGGCTGGCAGATGTAATGGCTGAGAGCTTGGCTGGGAGGGGGAGGGTGGCACAGGTGTGCCAGCGGGGGAGGGGCTTACAGGGTTAACCCAGGGACTGACGCTGAGGAGGAAGTCCTCAGAGTGGTCCAGAGCGCAGTCACTGAGGCTGGGGTTGAGGGACGTGTCATGTCTGCTCCTATTGTCTGCTTCTGGGGTTCCTCTTTGGGCTTCCCCCTCACCCAGTCACCCCCCAGGAGGAACCCTGTCCTCCTCCCCCCTCCCCCCTTCCCTCAGGATTGGGCAGGTAGGGAGGTTGGGATAGGTGAGTCACACCTTCCCTAGCCCCCCTCTCATGTCCCCGGAGCTGCATTTGGGGCTGGCAGGGGGGGTGAGGCCATGGTATTCCTGGCCGCGGGGGCGGTGGGCTGGGGGAGCGTGGTGCTGACGACAATGGAGCCCAATGACGGGGCTGCTATAAATAGCTCTGAGGAGGCTCCCACACCCGAGCTCTCCCTCCTGCTTTCCTACTGCTCTCTACTCTTCATCCCTAGCCATCCTCATTCTGTTCGCTCTCCTTTCCTATTCCTGGGCCCAGCCCCATCCCGGCTCCCTCAGCCCCTCTCTCTTCTCCTGGATTTCCCCCCGTCTTACTCCCATCCCTGTTCCCATGGCCCTCTCTGCAGTTCTGCCTCCTCACCTCTCCCATTCTCTATTTCTGCACATGCCTTTGCCTCCCCCTTGTCTCCTTCCCGTCCCAGCTCCCCCTCGTCCCCAGTCCCCATTTCAGTCTCTCCATTCTCACGTTTCTGCCCGCAGCTTCCTCCTATGTCTTGCGATTCCCCTCTGAGTTCCCTCAGCTGCTGTAACACATTACCATAAACCCCGACTCTGCTGGAGTGTCCTCCTACCTCATTCCCTCACTCTCTGGGTTAGTGATGTTCTGTGAGCACGGCGTGTGCCAGGCCCAGGTGAACGTCTCTGCACTCTGCTTCTTCACCTCCACCTTTCCTCCCTTGTTCCGAGGCTCTGGATGGTGGAGGTCCCCTGGAGGTGCCCCAAGCCCACCTGCTCCCTTTTCTCACTGCCGAGGTCCATTTCTGGATTCGGATATTCCTCAGTGTCCCCGGTCCTCACAGCCCCCTAGGTGTGAACTGAGGGCGAGGGGGTTTCTTCAAGGAGTCTTGCTTCTCTCACGTCCCTCGCATCTTTCCCCAGGGATAGGCTGGTTTCTGTCTGTCTGTCTGTCTGAGTCCGGGTGGGAAGGGAGTTCAGGAGGCACTCTCCCCAGGTCTCGTGTGTAAGAGGAGGGGGCCTGATCCTCCCCCGCCCCTCCCGCCCTAGGGCCCGGCTGATGCAGAGCTTCAAGGAGTCGCATTCTCACGAGTCCTTGCTGAGTCCGAGCAGTGCAGCCGAAGCCTTAGAGCTCAACCTGGATGAGGATTCCATCATCAAGCCCGTGCACAGCTCCATCCTGGGCCAGGAGTTCTGTTTTGAGGTATTGGGTCTGTGTGCTGGCTGATGGAGGGTGAGGACAGAGAGGCCTCAGGAAAGTGGCACCGGTGGGGATGTGAGGAAACCGAAATCTTAGGGGCGGGGGAGGAAGAGATGGCGGTGGAGTCTCCGGTTCTCAGGAGTCATCTCCCCTCTTCAGCCCCATCTCAACTCCACACCCCTCTCCAGGTGACAACATCGTCAGGAACAAAATGTTTTGCCTGTCGTTCTGCGGCCGAAAGGGACAAATGGATCGAGAACCTCCAGAGAGCAGTGAAGCCCAACAAGGTATCAGGAGCACAGGGGCGAGGCGGAGGCCAGGCCCCGGGAGCCTAGGGACCTTGTGGGGAGAAGTTAAGAGCGGAGGCTTGGGGGAAGAGGGAACTGAGGTGGAGGGGCCATGGGTGAAAGGAGGTGACCTCCCATTCCTCTCGAGTCCTTCATTTCTTTCCCTTTTCTACCTCCTGACCCGTTTCCCTGCTATAAAAATCATACTTATGCCTGGGCTCCGAAGTGCTCTGGGCTATGTCTCCTGCAAGCAGAACTGCCCACCGACCCCTGACAGGTGCTGCCCAGCCCCTGCTTGCCGTGTTTCTATAGGACACGCCCTGCCAGTTCGCGTGTTCTCGCCCTCAGTCTGCCCTCTATGAAACTGGTGGCTGCCGAAACTGATTTGGCTCAGTGGATAGAGCGTCGGACTGAAAGGTCCCGGGTTCGATTCTGGTTAAGGGCATGTACCTTGGTTGCGGGCACATCCCCAGTAGGGGGTGTGCAAGAGGCAGCTGATCAATGATTCTCTCTCATCGACATTTCTAACTCTATATCCCTCTCTCTTCCTCTCTGTAAAAAAATCAATAAAATATATTTAAAAAAAAAGAAAAGAAAAAAAGAAAAAGAAAAAAAGGAGCTGGTGGCAGTGGAGTTGGGCCACGTGATCTCTAAGGTCTCTTTGCTCACAAGTTCTAGGAGTTGGCTCTTCCCAAGACTTACATTTCCCAAGATAAATGCTCTCAGTTCCATCAGCTGTTCTCTGTACCCCATTTTTCAGTGAGTTCACAGGCCCACAGTGTCCTTCTTAAAGAATTAGGCCCAAGATGCTGATGCGACTTGGCTGGTTTGCTCAGTGGTTAGAGTGCCAGCCTGAGGAGTGAAGGGTCACGGCCTCGATGCTGGTCAAGGGCATGTACCTCGGTTATAGGCTATATCACTGGCTCCAGTCGGGGCACATGCAGGAGGCAACCAATTGATGTGTCTCTCACATCAGTGTTTCTCTCTGTCTCTCCCCTTCCCTTCCACTCTCTCTGAAAATCAATGGAAAAGATATCCTCGGGTCCAGATTAACATCAAGAACAAAAAAAAGATGCTGGATGTGGTCTAACCCTGCAGTCTCTCCGCTCTCCGCCCCCCATGGTGCAGGTCACCTCAGCCTCCCAGGCTCTGGTGTCAGTGTACCCCAGGCCCTTTCACACCAGCTGTGTTGCCTCCCCCATCCTGTACTTAAGCACTTCTTTTATTGTTTAAAAAATAAGTTCTGATTGTCTCCCTTTCAAATTCTACTTTAATGTTTCTGGCTTATTATTCTAGCTTTTAAAATCTTTCCCGATACTGATGCCATTTCTTAGGTCTGCCGTGACAAGTTGCCACACGTGGGCCGCTTAAAACAACAGAACTTCATTCTCTCGCAGTTCAGGAGGCTAAAAGTCCAAAGTCAAGGTGTTGGCAGGGCCTTGCTCCCTCTGGAGCTCCGGAAGGAATCCTTCCCGGTCTCTTCCGAGCTCTGTGCTCACTGGCGGCCTCTGCATCTGTCCAGTTTCTGCTGCCACTGACCTCCCATGGCCATCTCCCCTCTGGTGTCTCTGGTTCCCACGGCTCTCTCTCCATGCGGACTCCGGCCCGGGGTCTAGGGCCCAGGCTAGCCTGTGCGATGCTTCTCAGTGGGCATATCTGCAAGGACCCTGCTCCAAATAAGGCCCCTTTGCAGGTTCAAGTGCACATGAGCTCTGACTGCTGCCGCACACAGATTCCCTCTCACTGCCTCACTGTGTCTCCTCTTCCGTGTCTCTGTCCCCTGTCCCTTCCCCTTTATCCGCCATGCCCACCCCACCTTGCCAGGACAACAGCCGCCGGGTGGACAACGTGTTGAAGCTGTGGATCATAGAGGCCCGGGAGCTGCCCCCCAAGAAGCGGTACTACTGCGAGCTGTGCCTGGACGACATGCTGTACGCCCGCACCACCTCCAAGCCACGCTCGGCGTCGGGGGACACCGTCTTCTGGGGCGAGCACTTCGAGTTTAACAACCTGCCTGCGGTCCGCGCCCTGCGGCTGCACCTGTACCGCGACTCAGACAAAAAGCGCAAGAAGGACAAGGCGGGCTACGTGGGCCTGGTGACTGTGCCCGTGGCCACCCTGGCCGGGCGCCACTTCACAGAGCAGTGGTACCCCGTGGCCCTGCCCACTGGCAGTGGGGGCTCTGGGGGCATGGGGGGCTCAGGAGGGGGCGGGGGGTCAGGGGGCGGGTCAGGGGGCAAGGGCAAAGGAGGCTGCCCGGCGGTGCGGCTGAAAGCACGTTACCAGACAATGAGCATCCTGCCCATGGAGCTGTACAAGGAGTTCGCAGAGTACGTTACCAACCACTATCGCATGCTGTGTGCGGTCCTGGAGCCCGCCCTGAATGTCAAGGGCAAGGAGGAGGTCGCCAGCGCCCTGGTTCACATCCTGCAGAGCACGGGCAAGGCCAAGGTGAGTGCTGCGCCGGCGGGACAAGGTGACCTGGGACGGGCTCCTCTGTCTTCGGGAGGCTGGCGCACGGAGGCTGACCCTTGGCTTTTCCCGGCCCCAGGACTTCCTTTCAGACATGGCCATGTCTGAGGTGGACAGGTTCATGGAACGGGAGCACCTCATATTCCGCGAGAACACGCTCGCCACTAAAGCCATAGAAGAGTACATGCGACTGATTGGTCAGAAATACCTCAAGGATGCCATTGGTACGGCCCACCCTCAGGTCTCTGCTTCCTAACCCCACCAGATGTCCACCCAGCCCTAAAGCTGCCTACTCCAGACCCAAGTCCACCCTTCCTCAGGCTTGATGCCTCTGAACCCAGAGTTTCTGGGTGCCAGCATCCAACCTCCGGGTTCTGAGATCCCCCACCCAGCAGCCCCTGCCCCTGCCCCTGCCCCGGAGTGTGACCCCGTTGTGCTCCCCAGGGGAATTTATCCGAGCTCTGTACGAGTCTGAGGAGAACTGCGAGGTGGACCCCATCAAGTGCACGGCGTCCAGTCTGGCAGAGCACCAGGCCAACCTGCGGATGTGCTGTGAGTTGGCCCTGTGCAAGGTGGTCAACTCCCATTGGTGAGACTGGGAACACTGGGTTGGGGGGCGGGGAGCTGTGTGTCCATTTGTTCATCCATCTGTCCATCCTCAGAGAGGACTGAGGACCAGTTACGGGCAAACAGCGGGCTGGATGCTATAAAAGCAGGCAGAGCAGTGAGGCCTGGCCCTGCCTTCAGAGGACCTCGGGGAGGAGTAGGGGCAGAGGAGATACATAAGAGCTGCAGAACAGCTGTAAGCTGTGCTAAGTGCCAAGTGAGGGTCCCCCCGAGTAATACAAGGTCAGGAAGGCAGGGCTTGGAGGTGAAGCAGGGAAGGATTCATAGAGGGGGTGCCCCCGGGGCTGGGCTTTGGAAAGTGGGTCAAGTTCTGATGATTGGATCTGGTAGGGAAAAGAAGACTCTTTAGGAGGGGCTGTGGACAGAGGTGTGTGCCTGGTGGGCAGGCCCAGGAGCTTCCAGGAGACAGCAGTTGGCACAGTTTGGTAGAGACGTGGCTCCTAATGGAGAGTGGTGGGACAGGTGTCTGGACAGAGGGATTGGAACTAGAATCTGGAAGGCCTTGGCTACCAGGTTAAGGAGTTTGAGGTCATTTTAGGTGATGGGATGTTGTAGGCGATGGGGTGTTGTAGGCCATGGGGTGTTGTAGGCCATGGGATGCTGTTAATGGTGCTGGTGCCAAGAAGTATGGTGGCCAGAAGTAGGAGAGTGGGGGTGGGGGAGCCTGGAGCAGGAAAAAGGAAGTCCAGAGTGGTTGTGGCTAGAGTTGACCGGTCAGGCATGGGGATCAGACCTCGAGAGGGTGCAGTAGGATAGTGGAGAAGGCTGCGGGAGAGACCCTCAAGGAAAGGATCAGTAGCCGTTGTCAGCAATTGGAAAGGAGGCTGGTCTTCGGGAGACCTGTGGTCTCACTGAGAACCGCGGAAGTTGGAGGCGAGTCAGAGGTGGGGAGTGATGGTGAGCCCTGCTTTCCCAGCAGCAAAGTTCAAGGTGTTAGTGGGGCATTAGAGTGGAGCACGGAGCAGGAGTCAGGCAGTGAGCTCTGAGCCATGGCAGGACTGGGGTCATGTCTCATTCCCCTGGAATTCAGAAGAGTTGGGGGGTCCCAGCTCCCTGTACCTCAAGTGACCCTCCATCTCTCTCCCATCTCTGTCTCTCCCTGGTGTCTGTTTTTCTTCTCTGCTCGTCTCTCTCACATGACCCCTGTCTCCCACGTGTCCCTCTCCCCTCGCCTTTTCTGCCCCTCCGTTTCTCTCCCCTATCCGTCTGTCCCCTCTGCTCCCAGCAGCCACCCGTCTTCTCGCTGCGGTCCCTCCCTGCCTGTCTCTCACCTGTTTCCACACCCCACCTCCTGCCGCCTCCTCGGCACGTTCCCGGAAGCTGAGGGTCTCTGGGGCTCAGGCCTGGTCTCTCTCTTTCTTTCTCTTTCTCTCTGTCTGCCCACCCCTTCTCCCCAGCGTGTTCCCGAGGGAGCTGAAGGAGGTGTTTGCGTCTTGGCGACTGCGCTGCGCAGAGCGGGGTCGGGAGGACATCGCTGACCGGCTGATCAGCGCCTCGCTCTTCCTGCGCTTCCTCTGCCCAGCCATCATGTCGCCCAGCCTCTTCGGGCTCATGCAGGAGTATCCGGATGAGCAGACCTCACGAACCCTCACCCTCATCGCCAAGGTCATCCAGAACCTGGCCAACTTTTCCAAGTGAGGAGGGTTCGGGCTGGGTGGCAGCAAGGGTGTCCTGCGTGCCCTCGGCCTGAGACACGGGGGGCGAGCGGCCTTCGGGGTGTGTGACCTCCGCCTGGGCGCCTTGGCAGGTTTACCTCAAAGGAGGAATTTCTGGGGTTCATGAACGAGTTCCTGGAGCTGGAGTGGGGCTCCATGCAGCAGTTCCTGTATGAGATCTCCAACCTGGACACGCTGACCAACAGCAGCAGCTTTGAGGGCTACATCGACTTGGGCCGCGAGCTCTCCACACTGCATGCCCTGCTCTGGGAGGTGCTGCCCCAGCTCAGCAAGGTCAGCGGACGCCCCCTGCCCTGTCCCAGCTGTCTGCACAGGCTCCTGTGCCGGGATCCCTCCCCCTGCATAGCATGTCCCCCCGCCTGCCCCAGCACCCCCCTCCTCCTGAGGCCCCCAGGTAACAGCCTTCCCCTTCCAGGAAGCCCTCCTGAAGCTGGGCCCACTGCCCCGGCTCCTCAATGACATCAGCACAGCTCTGCGGAACCCCAATATCCAAAGGCAGCCGAGCCGCCAGAGCGAGCGGCCGCGGCCTCAGCCCGTGGTGCTGCGGGGCCCGTCGGCCGAGATGCAGGGCTACATGATGCGGGACCTCAACAGGTGAGCACTGCGGGACCCCACACCTGGGACCCGGGACCCCCACCATTCTGTTCCAATACATTCACTGGGCTCCATGTGCGCCTGTGGGGCTAGAGACGAAGAGCAGCAGGTGTCGGAGAAAACAGGGAAGAGGCAGGTGCAGGCAGCGGCGAGGCTGGGAGAGCTTCCACAGTCAGGCGGAGCAGGCCCTGGGGCCAGGGGAGTGAGCGGGCCCTGAGTCCACTGCAATGCTGACCTGCTCTGTCCTGCGCCCATGCCCGACCCTGAGCTGAGGTCCAGCAGTGCGTGTCGGATCAGCCATGTGGCGTCCAGGCTGCTGATCCAAAATACCTCTGTGCGCGCTGGAAAGAAGCACTGACCCAGCTCCCACCAGCCCCACAGACCTCACCACAACCAGGGCTGGGGAGTCACACCTGGCCCTGGGGCCTCCCGAGCCCCCCGCTCCGAAGGGTGGCGCTCGCCTCAGTGGCTGCTCATGGTGATGGCCACCCTGCTCATTCTTTGCCTGCCTCTCCCTCCATGATGCCACATCCGTGCCATATCCCCACCTCTCTCCTTCCCTGTCTGCTCCCCCCTCTTTCCATCTCTCTCCAGCTCCATCGACCTTCAGTCCTTCATGGCGCGAGGCCTCAACAGGTGAGGGGCTCTCCCCTCCCCCCCTCCTCTCCTGCCTCCCACTCCAGTGGCCTCCACCTTCCTATGCTCCTCTCCTCCTCCATGCACCTCATCTCCTCCACATCTGCCCACTTGCTGCCCTCCACTTGCTGCCCCCAGCTCCCCTCCTCTCGCCCTCCCTCCCTCCCGGCAGAGGTCTTGTCCTTTTCTTGCCCTTTCCCACATCCCCCTCCCATCTTCCCTGCCTTCCTTCCAGAGCTGTGGCTGCCAGCTCTTAGCCTTTCCCTGGAAGGTCCCACTTTTCACCTCGAGCCTGTGCCAGACCACAGCTGGCTTCATTGCCAGCCGCCTTGGCCTCACTCCTGCTGTGTGCCCCTTCCCTTCCGACAGCTCCATGGACATGGCTCGCCTCCCCTCCCCAACCAAGGAGAAGCCGCCCCCGCCGCCACCCGGCGCGGGGAAAGACCTGTTCTACGTGAGCCGCCCTCCCCTGGCCCGGTCCTCGCCAGCGTACTGCACGAGCAGCTCGGACATCACAGAGCCGGAGCAGAAGATGCTGAGTGTCAACAAGAGCGTCTCCATGCTGGATCTGCAGGGGGACGGGCCCGCGGGCCGCCTCAACAGCAGCAGCGTGTCCAACCTGGCCGCCGTCGGGGACCTGCTGCACTCCAGCCAGGCCTCGCTCACCGCCGCCCTGGGGCTGCGGCCCGCACCCGCTGGCCGCCTCTCCCAGGGGAGCGGCTCGTCCATCACCGCGGCTGGCATGCGCCTCAGCCAGATGGGTGTCACCACGGACGGCGTTCCCGCCCAGCAACTACGCATCCCCCTCTCCTTCCAGAACCCTCTCTTCCACATGGCTGCTGATGGGCCAGGTCCCCCAGGGGGCCACGGAGGGGGCGGTGGCCACGGCCCGCCTTCCTCCCATCACCACCACCACCACCATCACCACCACCGAGGGGGAGAGCCCCCAGGGGACACCTTCGCCCCGTTCCATGGCTATAGCAAGAGCGAGGACCTCTCCTCGGGGGTCCCCAAGCCCCCTGCCGCTTCCATCCTTCACAGTCACAGCTACAGTGACGAGTTCGGACCCTCTGGTACTGACTTCACCCGCCGGCAGCTCTCCCTACAGGACAACCTGCAGCACATGCTGTCCCCGCCCCAGATCACCATCGGTCCCCAGAGGCCCGCCCCCTCGGGGCCTGGAGGGGGGAGCGGCGGCGGGGGCGGCGGCGGGGGTGGTGGGGGCCAGCCGCCTCCACTGCAGAGGGGCAAGTCCCAGCAGTTGACAGTCAGCGCTGCCCAGAAGCCCCGGCCGTCCAGCGGGAATCTATTGCAGTCGCCGGAGCCCAGTTACGGCCCTGCCCGTCCCCGGCAACAGAGCCTCAGCAAGGAGGGCAGCATTGGGGGCAGCGGGGGCAGCGGTGGCGGAGGGGGTGGGGGGCTCAAGCCCTCCATCACCAAGCAGGTAGGTGAGGCTGGGAGGAAGGCAGGGAGGGCAGGAGACAGGTTGGGGAGGTAGGGGTAGATTAGAGTTTGTGGTCTGAACTGACAATTTTCTCACCTCCTTCCACTCGTTACACAAGTGTGTGCGAGTGCCCTCCGTGAGCTGTGGAGTCACCTCACCAGTGCTGCTCTGGGCACTGATGTGGCAGTGAACAGCAGGCAGAGGTCCCTGTGCAGGGAGCTCGCACTCGGGAGGCACGATAGCGAACTTGCCTAGCCCTCACGGTGGTCAGAGCTGGAGCAGGGAACAGGGCGGGGCCCATCTGGCCGTGCTCACTCTGAATGCCCCTGCCTTCTCCCACCTTCCCTCTCTGCCCCCACCTCCCTGTCCCAGCATTCACAGACGCCATCCACGCTGAACCCCACAATGCCAGCCTCTGAGCGGACGGTGGCCTGGGTCTCCAATATGCCCCACCTGTCGGCTGACATCGAGAGTGCCCACATCGAGCGGGAGGAGTACAAGCTCAAGGAGTACTCCAAGTCGATGGATGAGAGCCGGCTGGACAGGGTACGCCAGCCCCACCAGCCCCAAGCCCTGCCCTGCCCTGCCCTTGTCATTGCCGAGGGAAGCATCCAGGATCAGGAGGTTATGGTGGGAAAAAGAGAAACACTTGACCCCCTGTCTTGAGAAGCCTTCAGTCCAGAAGAGGAGACCACATATAACCAGTCTGCTGAGAATTCAGTTCCAACTCTGATTGTGGGTAGGACACAGCACGGCCCGTCTGGGAGAAACGGGCTCTGTGGAAGGCGTCGCCCCATGCTGAGCTCAGGAGAACACCGTCGGGGCTCCTGTGACTGCTCAGGAGTGGGAATCACTTCACTAGCAGCGAGCTGACCCACTGGGCGGGGTAGCGGGGCTGAGGTGCACTGTAAGCGGTCCACTTTGCCCAGTCACAGCCCGGCAGAGGTGACAGAGGGTTGTGCTGTAAGTAGTGCACCTGCCTGTGTGTGAAAAGACCATCCAGACTCCCAGCGGGTGGTGGCCCAGAGCAAAGGACAGCAAGAGCTCTGGGCACACAGTAGCTTAGTGGCACATTCCCTGGTAAAGCCACTGCTTCAGGAACCTTGAAGGACAGCGTGGCGGCAGGGTTAGGGTATAGGTAGAGAGTGTATGGCTGCAACTGGGGCAGTAGAGAGAAGTTTCTCAGGGGAATTGGTGTTGGATGTAGGGAAATGTTGGGACCGACCGAGATGGACTTGGTTAGCAAGCCTGGGAGAGAATGAGCCCTGCCGGCCGGCCGGGTAGCATGCCTCCTTCCCCAGGACGCCTGGCTGTGAGTGTGTCCGCAGCGAACGGAAGACCCTCTCAGATCAGTGTTTCTGCTGGCGGTTCGGGTGAGCAGTCTTGAGGAAGGCTCTGGGCTGGAACCGTCCGTGGCGGTGGAAATGTTCTGTGGTCTCCACTGTCCAATCTGGTGGCCACGGGCCATGGCTGGTGCAGTTGGGGAAATGAAGTTTTAATTTTTAGTGGTTACTGTACTGGACAGCACAGCTCCAGACTTTAGAGCCAGTAGGACAGAGAGAATGACTTCTGAGCCTTCCAGCCTCGGAATTCCTCTTCACTGTCAACAGAGAGGCATTCGTAGCTTCTCAGCCGGGACTCCTCTGCAGCCCAGACACTCTGCCCCAGGGTGCAGCCTGCCTCTCCCCAGCTTGTCTCTCCTTCCTGCTCTTCCCAGGCTGAGGAGTCCCCTTAGCTTTAAATTCAGGGTGTGCGAGTCTGTTTAGGTTCTGAGTGGGCCTCACATGTCCAGGTACACATGTGAGGACATGTATATACCTCTCTGGTGTGGGAGTCCGTGGCCATGTTCCATGGCGAGGGGTCTTCAGCATGGTGGGGCCTTCAAAAAAGTGGGATCAATGGCAGGGAGGGCTGGAGGAGGTGGTGGGGATGTCAGCCTCAACCTGGCACAGCTGTTCCTGGCAGGCAGGGCTGGGCGGGGTGGTGGGGGGAGGGCAGGGCGCCCCTCACAGTGCGGGGTCGTGTGCCCGGCGGGCAGGTGAAGGAGTACGAGGAGGAGATCCACTCCCTGAAGGAGCGGCTGCACATGTCCAACCGGAAGCTGGAAGAGTATGAGCGGAGGCTGCTGTCCCAGGAAGAACAGACCAGCAAAATCCTGATGCAGTATCAGGCCCGCCTGGAGCAGAGCGAGAAGAGGCTAAGGCAGCAGCAGGTGGAGAAGGATTCGCAGATCAAGAGCATCATTGGCAGGTGAGGGGCGGCCCGGGGAGGGGTAGCAAGGGAGACCTGAGGTTGCAGAGAGTCCCCAGACCCAACTGCAGACACGGAGGAAAGCCCACCCTACCCTTACCCACCGCAATAGAGTAACTTCTGTCGCCCTTGGGAAATGTGCCTGTTACCGTCCCCCCACCACTGTTACTTCCCACCCAGGCCATGACAGTCCCCTCAAACCAGTCAGGGTCCTTGTCCAGAGCAGCTCTGACAGGCCCTCCTGGGCCCCGGCCTGGAAGGGTGTCCGGTGGAAGAGGAACGCCTTCTTTTATGAAGTCTGTACGTCCTCAGCTGCTCCAGGAGCCCTGGGCTCCATCCCACGGAGGTGTCTGAGCACGGGGCTCAGTTATCCTGAGAACTGGGGGGACCCTGGCCTTACTCCCTTCAGTGCCAGCTCCTTTTTGATTCATTCTTAAAGTGTTTTTGAGTAACATTAATTAGAAGAACAAGGCTTTGGAAACTGTTTTGAAAACGACTGCTCTGATTGCTGCCCGCTATCAGAAATCACCTTGAGGATCTCTACCAAAGGCAGAGGGATGCTGGGATAATGATGATTGTAGGGGACCTCTTGGGTGAGGGGCATCGGGGGCTACCCAGGAGGTGGAATGGGGGACATGAGAGCCAGATCTTCAGCCACAGAGCTCAGGGAGGGCGCTGCCCTGGATGGGAGCAGACGGCCCGGGGATGTGGATGGTAGACGCTCAGAAAGCTTTTCTTAGGGGGATGAGAGGGCCCCTGGTGGAGGGTGAGTAACGGACAATGGAGGGGGTGCCCGAGAGCTGCATGGTGCCCGGGTCAGGAGTTCCCTGGGCAGTTAGTGCCCGCCACTAACCCCACTGAAGCCCGTCCCTTCAGGCTGATGCTGGTGGAGGAGGAGCTGCGCCGGGACCACCCCACCATGGCTGAGCCACTGCCCGAGCCCAAGAAGAGGCTGCTCGACGCTCAGGTGGAAATTACAATGTCATTTATCTTCTCCGTGTCCCATCCCCATCCATCCCACGGTCCTTCGTGCTCTCACTGCACCGGCACCCCAGCCCCATTGACGTCTGTCTCTCCCATTGTCCTCCGTGTGTCCACTGGCTGCCCCAGCAGCCCCTCAGTGACCCCATCTTCATCCCATCGTCTGTGCCTTTGTCACTCCTGGCCGTGTCAGCCCACCCCCTGTGCCTTCCCGCCCTGTCTGTCCCACTTCCGTCTGCGTCTCAGGACTTGCGAGACCCTCACTCTCCGCCCCAGACCACCCCCAGCTCCTGGAGGCCCCGCCCTCCTGGGCCCGCTCCTGTCCAGGCCGGAGTTCAGCCTCCTGGGAGCTCTTCTTGGCCTGGCTAGCCCTGGCCTGGATGCTGCGTTTCACTAGGGCAGAGCATGGCTGCTGGTTCCCCCGGGCTCTGGATGGGGCACTAGGTCTCCATCCTCTGTTCTCTTGGCTCCTCCGTTTTCCTGACTCCTGGGCAGCCCTGCACAGTCCTCCTGGCTCTTCAGAACGTGAACCCTCCCACCCTGTAAGCTCTCCACCCTGGGGGTTTAAGTCCAGCCGCCTCTGGCCCTCGCACCTCACTAGCTCTCCACCTCTCTGCTCCTTCCCTCTTCTCACCAGCCAGCTTTGGAACCTCCCTCCTGCACTCTTGCCCCTGGCTCTCCCCAAAGTCTGCTCACTTTCCCGCCACGCTCTTCCTCCTGCTCCACTGGCCAGGCTTCCCACCCCCCAGGCTCCTGACCCCATGACCCCACTCTCTCCCCCTGCAGCTCCTCATCAGGTAGTTCTCCTGTTTGCTCTTTGATCACGGGCGGAGGACACAGGGGGAGGTGACTCCGGACCACTGCAGGTTGGTCACTCCTGAAGCCCACTCCCCTCCGACTTTCCACAGCCTTCCCCTCACTGCGGCCCCTCACTGCGGGTCCCTCACTGCGGCCCCCTCACTGCGGGCCCTCACTGCGGCCCCCTCACTGCGGGCCCTCACTGCGGCCCCCTCACTGCGGTCCCTCACTGCGGGTCCCTCACTGCGGCCCCCTTACTGCGGCCCCTCACTGCGGCCCCTCACTGTGGGTCCCTCACTGCGGTCCCTCACTGCGGGTCCCTCACTGCGGCCCCCTCACTGCGGTCCCTCACTGCGGTCCCTCACTGCGGCCCCCTTACTGTGACCCCCTCACTGCGGCCCCTCACTGCGGCCCCTCACTGCGGCCCCTCACTGCGGTCCCTCACTGCGGGTCCCTCACTGCGGCCCCCTTACTGCGGCCCCTCACTGTGGACCCCTCACTGCGGCCCCTCACTGCGGGTCCCTCACTGCAGCCCCCTTACTGCGGCCCCTCACTGCGGCCCCTCACTGCGGTCCCTCACTGCGGCCCCCTTACTGCGGCCCCTCACTGCGGCCCCTCACTGCGGCCCCTCACTGCAGGTCCCTCACTGCAGGTCCCTCACTGCAGGTCCCTCACTGCGGCCCCCTCACTGCGGCCCCTCACTGTGGACCCCTCATTGCGGCCCCTCACTGCGGGTCCCTCACTGCAGCCCCCTTACTGCGGCCCCTCACTGCGGGTCCCTCACTGCGGCCCCTCACTGTGACCCCCTCACTGCGGCCCCCTTACTGCGGCCCCTCACTGCGGGTCCCTCACTGCGGCCCCCTCACTGCGGTCCCTCACTGCGGTCCCTCACTGCGGCCCCCTCACTGCGGTCCCTCACTGCGGTCCCTCACTGCGGCCCCCTTACTGCGGCCCCCTCACTGCGGCCTCCTCACTGCGGCCCCTCACTGCGGTCCCTCACTGCGGGTCCCTCACTGCGGCCCCTCACTGCGGCCCCTCACTGTGGGTCCCTCACTGCGGCCTCCTCACTGCAGTCCCTCACTGCGGCCCCCTCACTGTGGCCCCCTCATTGCAGCCCTCTCACTGCGGGCCCTTCACTGTGGGCCCCTCACTGTGGGTCCCTCACTGCAGCCTCCTCACTGCGGCCCCTCACTGTGGCCCCTCCCTGCGGGTCCCTCACTGCAGCCCCCTCACTGTGGCCCCCTCACTGCAGCCCCTCACTGCGGCCCCCTCACTGCGGGCCCTCACTGCGGCCCCCTCACTGCGGGCCCTCACTGCGGCCCCCTCACTGCGGCCCCCTCACTGCGGTCCCTCACTGCGGCCCCCTTACTGCGGCCCCCTCACTGCGGCCCCCTCACTGCGGCCCCTCACTGCGGCCCCTCACTGCAGCCCCTCACTGCGGGTCCCTCACTGCAGCCCCCTCACTGCGGCCCCCTCACTGCGGCCCTCTCACTGCGGTCCTCTCACTGAGGCCCTTCACTGTGGGCCCCTCACTGCGGCCCCCTCACTGCGGCCCCCTCACTGCGGTCCCTCACTGCGGTCCCTCACTGCGGCTCCCTTACTGCGGCCCCCTCACTGCGGCCCCCTCACTGCGGCCCCCTCACTGCGGCCCCCTCACTGCGGGCCCTCACTGCGGGTCCCTCACTGCAGCCCCCTCACTGTGGCCCCCTCACTGCGGCCCCCTCACTGCGGCCCCCTCACTGCGGTCCCTCACTGCGGCCCCTCACTGCGGCCCCCTTACTGCGGCCCCCTCACTGCGGCCTCCTCACTGCGGCCCCTCACTGCGGTCCCTCACTGTGGCCCCCTCATTGCGGCCCTCTCACTGCGGCCCTCTCACTGAGGCCCTTCACTGCGGGCCCCTCACTGCGGCCCCCTCACTGCGGCCCCCCCACTGCGGCCCCTCACTGTGGGTCCCTCACTGCGGCCTCCTCACTGCGGCCCCTCACTGTGGCCCCTCACTGCGGCCCCTCACTGCGGGTCCCTCACTGCAGCCCCCTCACTGTGGCCCCCTCATTGCGGCCCTCTCACTGCGGGCCCTTCACTGCGGGCCCCCCACTGTGGGTCCCTCACTGCGGCCCTCCCACTGCGGCCCCTCACTGTGGGTCCCTCACTGTGGGTCCCTCACTGCGGCCCCTCACTGCGGCCCCCCCCCCCCACTGCAGCCTCTCACTGTGGGTCCCTCACTGCGGCCCCCTCACTGCGGTCCCTCACTGCAGCCCCCCCACTGCGGCCCCTCACTGTGGGTCCCTCACTGTGGGTCCCTCACTGCGGTCCCTCACTGCAGCCCCTCACTATGGCCTACACCTGGGAACCTCCACGGGCATAGACCACCTCCCAAGGTGCTGCCAGAGACTGGTCGGCTAGGTGACACCTTCAAGTGCCAGGCATCTGCCCTGGCGGCAGTGCATTCCCAGATCACACCCCCTTTCCCACAAACTCACCTGCAGCCTCCTCTTAACGGTCAGCCTCTTCCTCTTCCTCTAACTCTCCAGTGTATGTCTGTCACCCCCCATTTCACCAGAGTGTCCTCGGGGTTGGGCTGCTGGGCGTGGTCTTGTTGAGGGGAGCGGTGATGATGGGTTGGGCACCCTTGCTAGAGGGGCTGCTCTGACCACAGCAGGTAGGTGGGGTTTCCTCTTCCTTACCTGACCTTCGCTCTCTACCCCCTTCCTTCCTTCGCCTCTCCCCCACTTCTCTCTTCCTTCTCCTTGCAGCTGGGAGGCAGAGGCATCTGGTGGGAGTTAGGAGGAGCTTTTAACTCGGGGGGGGGGGGGGGGGGCTGGGAGGACTGCCGATCAGAGGTCAGGGCAGTAGGCAGGGCGAGTGGAGCGGGAGGAGCGAGGAGCCGTGACAGGCGCTGGCACACCGACCGCCCGGGGGGCAGTGAGCCAGGACTTCTAGATAAGATCCTGGGCTCCGGGGCCATGCTGATTCCCAGACAGGGGTGCCGGCAGCAGCCTGATAAATAACCTCTGTTCTTCCTGTCAGAGCCACATCCCAGGTGGCTAATGCCATCGCTCCCCCTCTCCCGCCGCCCCGGGGCCTTGCAGACACAGTCCTACCTAAAAGGCCAGTCAAGGGAACCTGTTGGCCACGGACGTCATTTCTGAGCATGGTCTGCGGTGGGCAGTGCTCCTCGGGCTGTCACTAGCTCTGCCTGCCCAGCCTCTGTCAAAGTCTTAGTGGTGTGTAAACACGCTGAAAGTCACCTCACCATGGAAGGACTCCTGCAGCGAAGATGAACAGTGGCACCCCAACTTATCCACTTCCTAACGGGGTCCATGGGCATGCCCGGCAGCCACGCAGAGGGATGGGCACCTGAGGGCTCTTCCCTCCCTGCCACCCGCCCGTCCTCCCTCCTGACTGGAGAGCCAGTGAGGCTGCTGTGCTTCTGGCCGGGGTTCTGGTGGCTTCTGAGAGGTGTCCTTGGTTTGGAGGGAGAGCTGAGTGGGAGCTTCTGCCTGGGAGGATGTTGTGTCCTTTTGAGAGAAGGTCAGACATGTGGCCCAGGAAATAATTTGAAGCTTTTGCTAAAGCACTTTTAGGTATTTGCTAAAGCACTACCTAAGCTCAGGCATTAATTTAGAAATTAATTCTGTGCCTGTGTTTTATTTTTTGGTTGGCGGAAACAAGAGGGCAGGAGGCACGGCCAAAGCGGGCTTCCGTGTGCTGTGTGTGAGGCCAGTGAGCACCCAGGAGCCTCTGCCTTCTCGCCCGGCAGAGGGCCGGAGCCAGGCTGGGCCGGAGTGCAGGGGTGATACAGGACAGGGATGGGAGGAGGGTCTGGAGCCCTCACCTGTAATGGAGCCAGGGAGAGGGAGTGGAAGGAACATGGGGGGTGGGAGGAATGAAGCGTTTGCGCTTCCTGTGGCTGCAGAGGTTGGGGCCTGCTGTGTCTGCAGGGCTCCCAGGCTGTTGTGGTTAGAGAGAGAGAGAGAGGCAGCCCTCCCACGTCACTTCCCTGAATCCCCTTCCTTTCCCCCCAGTACAGTTAAACCTCTCTAATTTGGAATGTTATATTTGAGAAGATGGCTACTCTGAATAAGTGACAAAACTGAATGACAGTGTCTATTTAATGAAATGCATGTCTTCAAATATATACAGTAAGTAAACTTCAATAAATAGGCTTTTCTCCTCGCGCCCTCAGGGAGCATGCGTTAATGAATAGATAGGACTGAAAAGTCTGTTTTCTGGTTTAGGTTAAATATTCCTCCCACAGACACGTTGCCACTGTTAATTTGCTTAGCACACCCTTTCTTCACGGATAAAGGAAAACTCAAGCCCCGTTTTTATTCAAATTATGAAAAAATTCCAACCCATGGGGGTTTGGATTAATGAGGTTTTGCTGTACTGCCTCCCCTGTTCCCTCCACACAAAGTCCTACCTGGCTGGGGTGGGCTGGGCGGAGGGACGGGGGTGGGCGTGGGAGGAACGTGCCTTTGAGCTGGCGTCCCGCTGGGACTCCTGGGTGAAGGCCCTGTTAGGAGTCGGGGTAAGATTCCTTCTCCCTGATCCCAGAAGAAGTAACTTCTCCTGAAGGTGAGGAACGAACGCAGCAGGAGTGGGTGCAGGGTCCCGGGGGAGAGGACGGGGGTGCCTGGGCTGGCTTTGGGGGAGGCCGGGCGAGGGGCTGGCACCCAGGCCACTGCGATGCGTCTCAATAAGTCCGCGCTCTCCTCTTTGGTGTCTTGCAGGAGAGGCAGCTTCCCCCCTTGGGTCCAACAAACCCGCGTGTGACGCTGGCCCCACCCTGGAACGGCCTGGCCCCCCCAGTCCCGCCCCCCCCACCCCGGCTGCAGATCACCGAGAACGGCGAGTTCCGAAACACCGCAGACCACTAGCCCCCGCATCACAGACCTCCTTGCCCATCACCACCCCGGACGCGCCGGCCACGGGGACGGGACGTCGCCGAAGGACAGCGGGACTGCCTCCCTGAACGCTTCCTGGGGCACCGGCCCCACCCACCGCACCGTTCCCAGGAGGGAGAGCGGGACCGTAGCTGCCCCTCTTTTCTTCCTGTTGGGGTGCTGCCCCCTGTGACCCCCGCAGACCCTTGCCCCAGGACACCACCTGCCCCACGCGGACCCCTTCACTCCGGGGTGCTATCCCCACCCTCTGCCTCATCGTTCCCCTGAGCGCTGGGGGACAGACCCTCGCCCCCACCCTGGGGGTGTGGCACCTCCAAACTTTCAACTTCAGGGTGATTTTTTAGCAGTAACAAAGCTGACAATCTAACTCCCCATCCATTGCCCCATTTTGGCCTCCCCTGTCCCCCTTGTTTTGGGGAGAGGACCCCGGGTGAGGGGGCCCTACTACCCCTTGATTTCTCAGGAGCGTCTGGGGGGGCTCAGCACGCACAACTCCTTCTATCCTTCCACTCAAAGTTACTCCCTCCCACTCAGACCCAGACGGGGCGGGGGCCACCGGGGCAGGGTGGGGGCGGCAAGGGGGGAATGGGAGTTGTCTCCCCTTCCTCCCACACCTGATCTGCTCTTGGCTGGTCCCAGAGCGGGGTGAGGGGGCTGATGCCCCCCCCTCCCCCAGTGTGTTGGGTGGGGTGGAACTGAGGTTAGGGTGAGGGGTGAGGGTTTAGGAGGGTGTGTATGTTGGGAGGACAGACTGGCTGATCTGCCCTGCCATGACACACAGTCCCCCTGCCCCTCCCCTCTCTCTCCATGGTCTCTGCTCCCAGGGGGACGGGGGAACTTACCCTAGGAAAAGCCATGTCTCTCTCCCCCAGGGTGGGGGGACCTGTGTGGAAGAGGGGTGTTGGGGGCCTCTTTCCATGACTCTGTCCCCTGGGGGAGGTAGGACAGGGCTGGGCTACCCTCCCCTCTCCCCCCCAAGCTCCCTCCACCTCCCTCCCTCCCGCCAGCTCCACAATTTTCGGTGTTTCTCTGTACATAGCTCTCTGGCGGGATAGGGGAGGTAGGATGGATGGGGTTTGGAGTGGGTAGGTCATGAGGGGAGACCCCCTTCTGACACCCCTCTTCCTTGACTGCTATCCCCTACCCAGCCTTGCCCCCTCATCTTCTTGCGTTTGGTATTGAGACTTCGCAGACTCCACCCTTCTTTCTTTTGTATGGACAGTTCCCCTCAGTCCCTCCCCAACCACATACACCCAGCCGGGGCCAAATTTATACTTATATAAAAGTGTAAATATGTGAAATTTTATCCCTGTGCCCTTTCCCTGCTATCCCAACCTCAGACCCTACCTGGGACCCTCTTCTCCTCCTATTTGGCTGTTGTAATTATCTGGGGTTTGTACTGTACATATCTGGGGTGTGTGTGTGGGGGCTGGGGGCAACCCCTGTGTACAGAGCTTCCTAGCCCCCTCCCCCATGCTGCCCTCCCCGCCCACCACCCTGAAGGTAGGGAGATGCGTCTCCCTATCGGTTTTATTTTGTTTTCTCGTTTTCCCTCCCTACCCACCCCCACCCCACTCCCACCCCCAGCCTTCTCTACCCTACCACAGCCCCTTTTTCTCCACTCCCAGCCCCGTCTCCTTTTTTTCTGGAGTGTGTGGTGAAACTGAAAAATCATGTTTAATAAACGGAGATTGTTCTTTTATTTCTCTGCTACTTCCTAAGCTGGGCCCTCCAGACGGACCCACAGGGTGGTAAGACCTGCTTTTTGAAAGGAGAACCACAGCCCAGGAGAAACTATGTGCAACACACAGCTCCCTCACGGAGTATCCCTCTCCCAGCCAGCCGGCTTCCTGTTTCAGAGCCGGGTGTTAAAAAACAAACACACACACACAAAATTCAACTGAGTAAATGTAAAGATCTAATTGGCTTTATTCACTAATTCTGAATTGGGCAGCATCCATCCATCAAAAAGCTCAGCCCGACAGCAGAGAAGAAATGGTTTTAAAGGTGGAAAAAGGAAAGTATTGGCTAAGAACACATTGTTTTAGACAAGGTAGCCCTCGGTGGCGGCAGGAAGGGGCCTTATCAGGTAACCCCAGGCTGAATAGTTAAAGGTTACATTCCAGGAAGAAAGTGAAGCTGCGATTAGGGTAAGTATTAAGTCTTTGTTTGAGACTTGGGCTTGGCACAAAAGACTCCATTTGGGACTGGCCGGCGGTTCCTTAACTGGGTTTTGCACTGGCCAAACCCAGACTAGCCATCCCCTCCCCACTGCCCCACTGAACCCCAAGTAAAGGGCCAAGGAACAGGAGCAATACCGGTAAGAGGCCAAGTCTCTATCTACAGGCATCTGTAAAGAGAACAGTTACGCCTGGCAGGCCTGGCTTAGTTGAGCTGGGACTTATGAACCAGGAGGTCACGGTTTCATTCCGGGGCTGTGGCCTGCAGGCCGCAGCCAATTGATGATTCTCTTTCATCACTGATGTTTCTACCTCTCCCTAACTTTCTGAAATCAATAAAAACATATTAAGTAAAAAATAGAGAAAGTAATTACCTAGAAATAAGGTTTCATTGCTGGTTAAAATGTCCCCAGGAGGAAGGGAGGAAAGAACATGGTTCCTTAGCGAATTGGGTTCCAACCCCAGACCTACCTCTGGCCCAGCGGAGGACACAGGAAGGCGCACTCACCTGCAGGCGGGGCCGGCTCTGGTGACCGGACAATGGCTGGCCCACGCGGCCGGCGCCCCCTGTCTCGCCTCTTAGCACCCAGCGGGGCGCGGGCGCCACCTGAATCGCGGGCGCCTCCCCAGTCGCCGCTCCGCCTGCGCGCGGCCCGCACCGCCCCAGCCCCGCCCTCTCGCCGGCGCAGCCTATCCCCACGGGGCTCGTGGGCTCCGATTGGCTGCGTCTAGTCCCGCCCACCGCATCCGGCGTTGGCGTCGGGGAAGGCGGCGGCTTCCGGCTGGGACGGCGCGGTGGCTGCTGAGGTGCGGTGGCTGCGCCGCGGTGCAGGCAGCGTCCCGGGAGCCGGCCCTGTGGGCAGCGCGGCGGCAGCGGAGCGGCGGCCAGGCGGGTCCGGCTGGAGGGCCTCCGTCTTCTCAGACCCGGTTGGTGGAGGCTGGTGGTTTGTTGGTGGGGGAGTGCGCGGGACCGGCCTGACGGAAAAGTTTCCGCGGGTGTGCGGGGTGGCGGTAGGGAAGGCAGGTGGTGTTTGAGGCAACGCGCACTCCTCATTCAGAGCTGCTGTGACCCGTCTCTCCTCCACAGCCTGCACCGGCGTGAGGTCCACCCCCGCCCTCATCTCCTGGGGTCGGTCCTCTGGGGTCTCTCTCCGTGGAGGCCATGGATACCTCGGCACCTTTGCCTCCCGTCCCCCCGTCCCCGAACCGCAACCCAGCCCCACGGACCATCCAGATCGAGTTCCCTCAGCACAGCTCAATGCTCCTGGAGGCCCTGAACCGGCACCGGCTGGAGGGGAAGTTCTGCGACGTGTCCCTCCTGGTGCAGGGCCGGGAGCTGAGGGCTCACAAAGCAGTGCTGGCTGCTGCCTCTCCTTACTTCCACGACAAACTTCTCCTGGGGGATGCCCCGCGTCTCACCCTGCCCAGCGTCATTGAAGCTGATGCCTTCGAGGGGCTGCTCCAGCTCATCTATTCAGGGCGCCTGCGCCTGCCACTGGATGCTCTCCCTGCCCACCTCCTCGTGGCCAGTGGCCTCCAGATGTGGCAAGTAGTGGATCAGTGCTCCGAGATTCTTAGAGAATTGGAAACCTCAGGTGGAGGAGTTGCAGCCCGGGGAGCCACCCCTTATCACACACTTCTTTCCACTACCTCATCAGCAGGAGGTTGGTGCATTCGCTCTTCCTCTTTCCAGACTCCGGTGCCGTCTTCTGCTTCTACCCAGAACCCCGTTGGAGGGGAGGGGAGTGAACTGGGAGAGGTGTTACAGATTCAAGTGGAGGAGGAGGAGGAAGAGGAAGAAGATGATGAAGACCAGGGGTCGGCAGCACTTTCTCAGACTCCGCAACCTGCCAGTGCCTCAGGGGTTCCCCACTCTCACGGGTCCCACTCACTGCCCATATCTGCTACGCCCCGCAGGCTTCCAGAGGAGGGGAGTGCACCACTTGAACCTCCTGCCCTTCCTTCTGCACCGCCCCCCAAAATCTTCTACATTAAGCAGGAACCCTTTGAGCCTAAGGAGGACATAACCGGAAGTGGAACTCAGTCTGGAGGAGTAAGCGAGGAGACCACAGTGTTTCCTAGAGGAGTCACTGAAGGGAGCGGAGAGCTGGGGTTCTTGTCGCCCTCAGGAGTTGGGGCAACCTCTGGAGGAGGAGGTCCATCCTGGAAACCAGTGGATCTTCATGGGAATGAAATCCTGTCGGGGGGTGGGGGGCCCGGGGGAGTGGGGCAGGCTGTTCATGGGCCTGTGAAACTAGGGGGGACACCCCCTGCAGATGGAAAATGTTTTGGTTGCTTGTGCGGGAAGCGGTTTGCAGTGAAACCAAAGCGTGACCGGCACATTATGCTGACATTCAGCCTCCGACCCTTTGGCTGTGGGATCTGCAACAAGCGCTTCAAGCTGAAGCACCACCTGACAGAGCATATGAAGACCCATGCGGGAGCCTTGCATGCCTGTCCCCACTGCGGTCGTAGGTTCCGAGTCCATGCCTGTTTCCTTCGTCACAGGGACCTGTGCAAGGGCCAGGGCTGGGCCACTGCTCACTGGACTTACAAGTGACGGTGAGGCCATATACTAACTTCTAGGACAAGAGAGCCACTGCTGCTGATGGATACTTGCCCTCACTATCGGGGCACCCAATCATGGGTCTTACAATCATGCCAGGAAGATACGTTATGGACCTCTTGTTCTTGGGTATGGACCTCAACCTGGCAGACTTGGGACTCAGAATTCTCATCTTGCTGCAGGTTTTTACTAATCACATTATAGAAAAGTGGTTTATAGGCCATATATAAATTGGTCACTTGCTGATAATAGACCTTTTCATACAGGGAACCAGGTTTTAGATTAGAAATTTAATTGAAGAGAGAAGAGTTAAAACAAAAAAGACAATGATAAATGTTTCATTCAGTCTCCATGAGATGTTAAAGGAGCTGGTCTCCATCTGGGGATATGTTTGATTTTGAGTTCTAGTGATTCAGGGACTGAGTTCCCATATCATTGATGAAATGTGAGCAGAGTTCTTTTTTATGTACTTATTATGTCTTTCCAGAAGCCCCTCAGGTGATAACTTGCTTTTTTACCAGTAGATATATCTTCCCAACACCTTTATTTTTATGTCGTAGTTGAGCACTTTAACAAATTGAGCATTCCATGTGTCATTATCAGAACTCTCTTTAATAGAGGGTATTCCTCCAACAGCCTGTGCCTCTTGTCTACTTTTGACCATGATTAATCACTCATATATTGATCACAATGATTGGAATATGACCAGGGAACTCAGGAGATGGCCACTGACCTAAAATGCTCTCAAGGTAGACCACTATGAACAAGTGGCTTTGGTCAGAGACCGGCTGAGATAGCACATACTGAAGGCTAGAGAGTAACTGCATAGTGGGACCACACCCCCACCCTTTTCATCCCTACTTGCACATGACAAATAAACTTTGTCTTGGAATTGAGAACTGACAGTGGACTGACTGAGTAATTTATGTGGGAGAAACAATGTGAAAACAGAGTTGCCAAGACTTGGCTGTGTTTTGCAGCTGGGTTATGCTGATGGGGAAAGAATAGGATAGTTTCACACTGGTGCAGAGAAAACTATTCTGGATTTCACTGGGATAGATTCTAAGCCCAGACCTGCCACTGAATAACCTCTGGTAAGCTACCTTATCTTTCAGAGTCTGAACTGTTGTTTTTCTTTCTGGGGTGATATCTCCGAACTGGTTCTCGGTCTTCTTTGTCTTTTTTTTTTTTTTTTAAATATATATTTTTATTGATTTCAGAGAGGAAGGAAAGGGAGAGAAAATAGAAACGTCAATGTTGAGAGAAAATCATGATCGGCTGCTTCCTCCATGCCCCCTACTGGGGATCAAGCCCGCAACCCAAGCATGTCCCCTGACTGGGAATCAAACTGGCCTCCGGAACCACACCAGCTGGGCCCTCTTCCTTTTTTTTTTTTTTTTTTTTTTTTAAAGTGGCTTGATAAACATGATCTTTTAATGTTCTCTAATTTCATATATTTTGTATAATGTTTAGTTTGCTCTACAAATATTTAGTGCAAAGCACTGTGCCAGACCCTGCTTTCATACTCTGCTCTCTTGGAGTTCACAGCTACTACTGAAGCTAGACAAATGACGGTGCTAAGTCCATATAGTGAACAGACAAATTCCTGTAGTTGCACAAAGGAAACTGAGCCAAGACCTATAATAGGTCACAAAGAACTCCATGTGCCAGACTAGTATGGCAATGGTGTGGATGGCTGAACTAATGTAGAAATGGTGAACATGAATTCAAGTCACAACTTTACTTCCCTAAAGCATGTTCCTCAAAAGTGGCTAAAAAATGTGACTTTCTGGCTGAGAAGGTAAATTGTAGCTGCTATCTATCAGCCTCTAAAAGAGCCACGCCATGGTACCATTAAGGACTGAACACATTGGGAAAGGCATCAAGGAATAGGCTCCAATCTTCAATCTATTGCAATCTCACCCATCTGTCATTCTTTTGGCACACATCCTGTTGGTGGCTATAGCCAGTGGCCAGGATCCTCAGGTTGCATGCAACGGGAGCTGGCTCTAACTTTATCAAAACAAGAATCTATGAAAGGATGTGGGGTGGCTCCTGAAATGGAAGAGATGAAGGACCAGCATTTGGTTGAATAAGACCTGGGTCAGATCTGAAAGTCCAGGGAGCAGGAACTCCTGGAAGTCTCTTTAAAGAAGTCATTGTTTTGGGGTGATGAACTAGTCATTATTTCTTGTGTCACTCAAGATTAAATTTCCCAGATGACAACTGTGAGCCTCACATCCAACCTCTGGCCAGAGCACCTTGATCATGTGTTCCCAAAGTAACAGTGGGCATGGAATCCTCAAGGGGCAATGGAAGTCATGAGATAGAAGAGTAGGGAATAGCTGCTGATCAGACCACAGGAGCACAGACCCACCCCAGACAATCTCCACATGTTGCCCACTTTGGGGTCCTTAAAGCCTCAGATATATCTGGCACTTAATAGGTGTTCAAGATAGGTGAACCTGCCCTGGCTGGTTTGGCTTGATAGAGCAGTCTTTGGACCAAAGGGTCTCAGGTTTGGCTCCTGGTCAAGGGCACGTCCCTCAGTTGCAGGTTCAATCCCCTGCCCCAGTTGGGCACATTTGGGAAGCAACCAATTGATGTCCCACTTTCCCCCCCATCCCTTTCCACTCTCAACAACAACAACAAATATCAATGGAAAAAATATCCTCAGGTGACGATAAAAAAAAAAAAAAAGATGTGAACTTGCCCAGTTTCCACCTCTGCCCTCTGACTGAAGGCAGAATTCTTTCCTTCCTCTACTTAATCCCTGTAGCACTTTGTTTTTACTCTATAAGCCAGTTATAGCACCATGTTAGCCGTGGCTGGTGTTCCTCAGTGGTAGTGTTGGCCCCCACACTAAAGGATTTGAGTCCTTGGCCCTGTGAAGCAACCAATCAATGTGTCTTCCTCCCTTACACTCTAAAAATCAATGAGGAAAAAATCCTTGAGTGAGGATTAACAAAATACAAACAAACATAAACATCATGTCAGCTTTATTTCAAAAGTTGTTAGGGCCGAAACCGGTTTGGCTCAGTGGTAGAGCGTCGGTCTGCGGACTGAAAGGTCCCGGGTTCGATTCCGGTCAGGGGCATGTACGTTGGTTGCCGGCACATCCCCGGTGCGGTGTGTGCAGAAGGCAGCTGGTCGATGTTTCTCTCTCATCGACGTTTCTAGCTCTCTAGCTCTCTTCCTTCCTCTCTGAAAAAAAATCAATAAAATATATTAAAAAAAAAAAAAAAGTTGTTAGGTATTGTACCTTGGCCCAGGTGGCTCTGTTGGGTGTCACCCTGTGCACTGGGGGGGGGGGGGGGGGGGGAGGGGAGGGAGGTTGCCGGTTCCCTTCTGCTCAGGGCACGAGTCCAGGTTGCAGGCTTGGTCCCCGGTGCAAGAGGCGGCCAATTAGTGTTGCATTCTCACATCGATGCTTCTTTCTAAAAATCAACGTTAAAATCTTTTTAAAAGAGTTTAGGTATTGTATAGAAAAGTTTCCATGATGAAAGTGTTTGTTTTAAACAGATAAACATACTTTCTACCTCTGTCCTTTCCTCCTTTTTTTTTTTTTTTTAAATACATTTTATTGATTTTTTACAGAGAGGAAGAGAGAGGGATAGAGAGTTAGAAACATTGATGAGAGAGAATCATCGATCAGCTGCCTGTTGCACACCCCCTAAGGGGGATGTGCCCGCAACCAAGGTACATGCCCTTGACCGGAATCGAACCTAGGACCTTTCAGTCCGTAGACTGACGCTCTACCCACTGAGCCAAACCGGTTTTGGCTGTCCTTTCCTCCTTTAGTGAAGAGATGTTCCTACTGTCCAACGCTGGCCCCCTCCCAGAATCTTGGCTTCTTTTTTGAAGTGAATTGCCTTTTGCAGTTAATTATACTCATAGAGTATCAGAATACATGTAAAATGCTTAGGACAGTGGTCGGCAAACTCATTAGTCAACAGAGCCAAATATCAACAGTACAACGATTGAAATTTCTTTTGAGAACCAAATTTTTTAAACTTAAACTTCTTCTAACACCACTGTTTCGAAATAGACTCGCCCAGGCCGTGGTATTTTGTGGAAGAGCCACACTCAGGGGGCCAAAGAGCCGCATGTGTCTCACGAGCCGCAGTTTGCCGACCACGGGCTTAAGACAATGCTTTACACTCAGTAAACTCAATAAATGTTAGCTATTATTATGAAAGAACATTAGTCAGTTACAACTTTACTGGGATCAGTTCTCTCAGGGAGGAATCACTTACATAAAGAGAAAATGTTTTCAACTAAAAGGAAAGGAGGCATACAGCACTCAGTAAGGATTAAATGTTATTGTTATTACCTTTTTCATAAGTGTTAGAGTTCTTCAAGGCTCTTTCACCTTCTAACTTTATATACTCTTGAGTGATTTTTTCCTTTTAAATACTGATGACTCCTAATTTTATATCTCCAGTTTTTCTGACTCCCAAACCCACTTAGATTTTTTTTTTTCCTTCAACAATAAATGCAAAAGGTATCACAAGGGCTTGGGCCCTGGACTATCACTTTAAGAGACAAATATTTAAACCAGCTATGTAGATACTTCATAGACATCTCAAGCTCCACATGACTAAAGTGCTCGACCCCACCTCCAGCCAGCTGTTTTGCTGTTCCTTCCAAGTTTAGTTCTACCATCTACCCAAATGCCCAAGACGGAAACCTAGAACATGTCTCACCTCCCATACCTGTCCTACTAGTGCTGTTTCCCAAATATTTCCAACTGATGCATTCCTTCATTCTCACTACTGCTTCTATAACCTAACCTGTTGTCTTCTGTCTTTCTTCCCTCTATTTTTCACTCTACAACGATGGCCGGAGTGATCTTTCTAAAGCAAGTAAGTACTGTTACACCAACTCTTCAGCTGAAACCTTTTCATTCGCTTCCTCTTGCTCTTTCGTAGTCTCCTCACTCATTACTCCCCCCCAGGCCTCTGCTCTTTTCCTCTGCGCCTCATGCTCATCTC